AATTATTGACATTTTTAAAGATATAAGCTCATCCCGATGTTACACTCATCGAGACCTTTCATTTGAGTATCCACATGGCAATTTTTCATATATTTTATATATTTATATATTTCACAAATACCATATATATGAAATATATAAAAATTGCCATGTGAGTACTCAAATGAAAGGTCTTGATGAGTGTAATATCAGGATGAGCTTATATCTTTAAAAATGTCAATAATTAAGTTTTAAAGAATATAAATTAAATTTTATTAAGTAATTTTTCAGACCTTATTTATTTTTTTTTAAATTATAAAGTGTCTGTTAATTTTAGTGTCATAAAAAATAAATCTTAGTTAATAAATACTCCATTTAATTTTAGAATAAAAATTAACAATATTTATTTACCTTCAAACATACTCTATTCCTCGCAATACTGTTTGAAACTTGTTCAAGAGGAGCACTTAAAGTAGGATTTACTTCTGACAAAAAGTAAGGCTCAAATTCAACTGGAACATTGGCAGCTTTAAATACTTGCTGAACTGACAATACTAATTCAGGACCAACACCATCACCGGGTATCAATGTGCACTTGGTTTTACCTTCCTGTTCAACCAGCTGCAAAAAAAATAAATAAAATAGTAAATAGTTTACGGGAATAAATAACTACCATACCACACTAACAATCAATGACATAATCTAATAGAAAAAAATCCAATATCTACTTAAACGTACTGATTCCTGGTGGTGCACTTTGCTGGCACTGAAACTCCGGACTGCACCATTTTGGGTTGTCTAAAAAAATATCAATCTTAAATAATAATAAATTAATTAAAAATATAATAAGCACAGGTTGCATAAACAATTTATAATCCATCACATAAATAGTAAATAATAATACTTATCACACAAATAATTATTTTTATTTATTTTAACAGTAAGAAGATGATAATGGTACCTTTGACAATACTTTGCAGACATTTCTCATCAATAAAGCCATTTTTTAGATAAATAATAAAATATTGAGCCCTGGATTTTTTTTGGAGTCAATTTTAGCCAGTGAACAGGACAGGACAGAGGAGAAGCCTCTGAACAGTGTAAAATTATAATACACTAGTTTCAGCGCCTCTGGTGAGTTTTATTGCAACTAAATTATCAATGGCGGACATTTTGACAGTTTAATTTAATTCTAAGTTTATTTTTTTTTGTTAATTTTTAAAAAATTATTTTTAGTTCTAATTTAATTAATAAAAAACAGTCGAAAATTGTTGAACATCTGCTAATTTAAATGATATTAAAGGTAGCAGTCATTGAAAAGAATTTTTAATTTTTTTTAACAAACAAATTTGTTCCAAAAATGAAAATTAATTTAGCAGATATTCTATAATTTTAAGAATTTTTTCAAATTTTAACAAATAAATTATGTCAAAGAAAATGAGAAAAAAAATTGACATTTAGATAATTGAAAAATAAAAAATGTAATTTTTTTAGAAATAATTGTTCGGAACAAATTTATTTATTAAGAAAAACTAAAAAGTGGTCAAGCGACTGCTAACTTTAATGTTATGTTCTAAAAAATAATTTTTAAAAAATTGCATTTTTTTTTTTATTTAAATTTCTACATGTCAATTTTTATTTCTAATTTTTTTTGCCATAATTTATTTGTTAAAAAAAATTTTGAATATTATTTAACATCTGCTGAATTTATTTTCATCTAATTTAAGTATCATTAATAATAATAATTAATAATTGTGTCAGTTTTACAATTGGACACACAGTTGCCATTTTCTTCCCCAGCTGTTCGGATCTAGTAATTTTATTTCCTTAAAATTTCCCTAACCTAGAGAATTTTTTGAACTTGGTTGGAGATCTTGATGAAGAAGCATAAATTAAAAAAAAAAAAATAAATAAATATCAAGAAATTATAAAACACTAATGATTTACTTTATTTTTTATAACTGTTAATTATTTTAATATAATTTATATATTTTTAGAGAGCAAAATGTCCAAGGAACAAAGTGAGTATTTAATAAAAATAATTTTACCACTTAAAAAAATTATTGCAAAATAAATTAACAATTATTTTTTAGGTAATGTGAGTAAGCACAGTCATCGCAAGAAAGTGTGGAACTACATGATGGACAACGACCTGGTGAACTTCCCATCTGTAGTTTACCACCGCATACCGAACTTCAAGGGCGCTGATGAAGCAGCGAAGCGCCTGGCCGAGTTGGAGGAGTTCAAGAAGGCACGTGTCCTGAAAGTGAACCCGGACAAGCCCCAAGAACCAGTCAGATTGCTGGCTCTGGAAGCTGGCAAGGAGATCTTGGTCCCTATACCGAGGCTGAAGTCGGGTTTGTTTTTTCACGTAGTGCCTGTGACACCCAATGGAGCTGCTACTCCTACTCAGCAAAACCTGAAAGCCATGGCGACTCGGTTCGGTATCGAGACACATGGCAAGCCTGTCGGCATTGACGCAGACATCAAAGTCGACCTGGTGGTCCTCGGCTCGGTCTGTGTTAGCAGGGAAGGCTTCAGGATTGGAAAGGGCGAAGGCTTCGCTGATCTCGAGTTTGCCATGATGATGAGGATGAAAGCGGTTGATGATAACACTGTTGTTGTCACCACTGTCCATGATTGTCAGCTGGTTGACAAGTTTGAGGAAGGCTTGTTCGAGAGACACGACGTACCTGTTGACATTATTATCACGCCTACGCAGACTATTTTTGTTAGTGAGAAGTTGAAGAAACCTGAAGGGATTTTTTGGAATATTCTCACGCCCAGGAGGATTAAGACCATGCAGATTTTGCAAATTTTGAAGGATATTGATGAAAAGTATTTTTTTTATTATTTTATTTTATTGGAAAAATTATTCTAAAAAGTTTAACATCTTTAAAAATGTCAATAATTAAGAAATGACCTTTTATCTTGTAAAATATTGACATTTTTAAAGATATAAACCCATCTCGATGTTACATTCATCGAGACCTTTCATTTGAGTACCCACGTCAATTTTTCATATATTTTATATATATATATATGTATATATGAAAAATATATATAAAAAGGCATGTGGGTACTCAAATGAAAGGTCTCGATGAGTGTAACATCGGGATGAGCTTATATCTTTAAAAATATCAATAATTAAGAAATTACTTTTTATCTTGTGAAGTATCGACATTTTTAACTCATACTCGATGTTACACTCTTCGAGACCTTTCATTTGAATACCCACATCAATTTTTCGTATAATTTATATATTTATATATATTATATATATATGTATGTATGATAAATATATCAAAAATGCATGTGGGTACTCAAATGAAAGGTCTCGATGAGTAGATCATCGGAATGAGCTTATATCTTAAAAAATATCATAAGTTGACAAAATACAATGTAGTTTATTAATTATTGACATTTTTAAAGATATAAGCTCATCCCGATGTTACACTCATCGAGACCTTTCATTTGAGTACCTACATCAATTTTCCATATATTTTATATATTTATAAATGTATATATGTATATATGAAAAATATATCAAATTTGCATGTGGGTACTCAAATGAAAGCTCTTGATGAGTGTAACATCAGGATGAGCTTATATCTTCAAAAACATCAATAGTTAAGAAAGTAGAGTGCAATTTAACAAAATTCATTATTTAATAAAGCCAAATTTTATTTATTTATCTTTGACAAGTCACAGCAGTCACGTAGTGACTGCAAGGTTGCTAATTATCAAATATCGGCCAAACTAATTTTCATTTTTTTTTACTCGTAATTTTATTATTTAAAAAAAATTCTAAAAATGTTAAACTGTCTTTAAAAATTATTATTATAACGTTTTTTTTTGGTAATTTAATTTTTTAGAGAAGGCAAGGATGTAATTTTGAAAGCAGACGAGCCCAATAACTCTAAGCCGAGGCGTTTTGAAAAAAATTGGAAGCGTACGAAAGGAAAAAAGAATCTTAAAGTCAAAAAAGATTCAGAAATAAAACTTATCACTGAAAATAATGAAAAAGAAAACGAAAATAAAAATGAAACTACTAAAGCTGAGGAAGAAAAGAAAGAAGTTAAAAAAAATCGTCGGCGGCGTCGGCCTCAGAAACAAACCGATAAAATAGACACTGGAAAAAATGAGGTATTTATAATTTTATTTTCTGTATAAATTTAATAATTACAATAGTGTTATTTAAGTACAATATAATTATTAACTATTAGAAATCTTTGTATTAATAAATATTTGGTCAATTGAACTTTAATTATCGCTCACTGTTTTTCGTATTAATAAATATTTAATAATGTAATTGATTAATTTATTTTGCTCGTGATTTTTTTAGGAAAAAACGGACAAGCCAAAAGAAAATAAAGGTCGTAAATTAAAACCGAAGCCTCAGATTGATTTTTCATTAAAGCTCTCCAACATCGGGTCTGATGTGCGAGTGAGAGATTTGAAGAGTGCATTGTCGCAGCGTGGAATCAGCCCGACGTCGATAGCTTGGCGAGGCCAGCGTGGGTTTTGTTATCTTCATTTCGGGAAATTGAGGGGCAAAAATAATACGCGGAATGAGCCGGTTCAAGTCGACTCGATAGTCGCTAATTTACAGCAATTATACGTGGGTAACAATGGTAATCACGGAGGAGATTCAAATATCACAAATGATAAATTTATTATCGTTGAACCGGCTAAGCCTATTACTAGGATCGAGACAACCGATGTTTCTGCGGTTTAATTGACTATTTTGGTTCGTTATAAATTATAACTATATTAATTAATTATTATTTTGTACGAGAGTCTATTTTATTAACGCGTACGTATATATAAATACTCAATAATTACGTACTTTTGCTACGTGTGATATTTTATATATTTATTACGCGTTTTTTTTTTTCTTTACTTTGCTTTAATTTTTCTTTTTTTTTTAATAAATATAGAATATATTGCGTTCAGATGCCATAAGGGCGTATAATAAAAATTCTATTTTTTTTTCTAAGTCCAAAAAAATTTTTAGTATGGAAAAAAAATTTTTTTTAGGAAATCAACGTATTTTTGTATAACTATATTAATTAATTATTATTTTGTACGAGAGTCTATTTTATTAACGCGTACGTATATATAAATACTCAATAATTACGTACTTTTGCTACGTGTGATATTTTATATATTTATTACGCGTTTTTTTTTTTCTTTACTTTGCTTTAATTTTTCTTTTTTTTTTAATAAATATAGAATATATTGCGTTCAGATGCCATAAGGGCGTATAATAAAAATTCTATTTTTTTTTCTAAGTCCAAAAAAATTTTTAGTATGAAGAAAAATTTTTTTTTTGCATTTCTGCAAGTTTCATACAAAAATACGTTGATTTCCTAAAAAAAATTTTTTTTCCATACTAAAAATTTTTTTGGACTTAGAAAAAATAATGACAGATACTAAAAATTTTTTTAGAATTTTATAGCAATTAAATTATTAATAATTAAAAGGTTCCACATGCAAAAATTAATATACATTACAAGTGAAAATTTTTACAAGCATTTTTTTATTGTAATTGATTTGTTAAAAAAATTTTTAAAATTAACAACTGACGGCTAACTTTATTGTCATAAAAAATAGAATTTTTAATATACGCCCTTATAGCATCTAAAACGCGATATAATGAATTTAATCTTTGGAAAAAAATAATAAAAATTTGTCGGTGTTTGTGATAATTAATCTACTTACTTTTTATATTATCAAAATAATAATATTTTATTATAAATAATTGTGGTTGGTAAAAAATACCCTCAAAATTTATATCAATATTATTAAAAAGATTTTTAATTTTTTACTTGGAAAAAAAATATATATATAGAATCATATATTTTGTATTAATATATATATAAATTTTAGATTGCTCTTTAACTCGGTGTGAGATTAGAATTTAATATATTTATATAAATCATTGTGATCTTCTATTGGAAAACGAACAAAAATTTTTTATCGGCTTACTTTCAATTAGCCCGTAATATTTTGTGATAATTATTATATTTTTTTTTTGTTTTTTTTTTTTTTATCAATAAAATATTATAATTTTAGTACTTCACTCAATTAGGTACCGAGTGACTAATACGTAATATAATACAAAAAACAAACGGGAGCGAAATAAGAACGTGCTCGTAAATATTTTATACAATGTCAATTCAATAAAGCATTTATCATATTTCTTACCAAAATTCGTAAAATAAATTCCTTTTAACTCCATGTAAATATTATTAAATATCTATGTATAGTTATAATAATAATAATATTAATGTTGAGTCCAAGTGACAATTAGCATAATAATGAAATTTAAAAAATAAAACATTTATGTTTGTGTTGTCTATGTTAGGAGGTAGACGTTTCAGGACTAGCATCGATAAAATCAATATCCAAAGAAGTTGCGATGCCGGATCTTTTATTCGAGCGTAACGAGGCACGTTCAATACGTGAGTGAATGTTCGATGAGGAGACACTTAACCGGCTGCTATTTCTAAAGTGTTGATTGCTGTGAGATCGTTGTTTATCACGATCGGGATCCCTGCGAATAAAAAAAAAAAAAAAAAAAAAAAAAAAAAAAAATGGAACGTATTGATAAAAAAAAAAAAAATACACAAAGAAGCTACTCAACTATAAAAATACAAGCTACGTGATTTGTGAATTTTAGATAGATAGATAGTTTATGATGCTTAGTATTTAGGCTGCATTTGAAAATGCTCTATTTTCTAGATAAATAATTAAGAAATGACCCTGTATCTCGTGAACTATTGACATTATTGAAGATATAAGCTCATCTTGATGTTACACTCATCGAGACCTTTCATTCGAGTACCCGCATCAATTTTTCATATATTTTATATATTTATATATATTATATATATGTATATATCAAAAATATATAAAAAATGCATGTGGGTACTCAAATAAAAGGTCTCAATGAGTGTAACATCGGAATGAGCTTATATCTTAAAAATGTCAATAATTAAGAAATTACCTTGTATCTTGTGAAGTAATGACATTATTAAAGATATAAGCTCATCTTAATGTTACACTCGTTGAGACCTTTCATTTGAGTACTCACATCAATTTTTCATATATTTATATATATTACATATATGTATATATGATAAATATATAAAAAATACATGTGGGTACTCAAATGAAAGCTCTTGATGAGTACAACTTCGGAATGAGCTTATATCTTTAAAAATGTCAATAATTAAGAAATGACCTTGTATCTTGTGAACTATTGACATTATTAAAGATATAAGCTCATCTCGATGTTACACTCATCGAGACCTTTCATTTGAGTACCCACATCAATTGTTCATATATTTATATATTATATATATATATATATATGAAAAATATATAAAAAATGCATGTGAGTACTCAAATGAAATCTCCTGATAAGTGTAACATTATGATGAGCTTATATTTTTAAAATATATATTACATATATGTATATATGATAAATATATCAAAAATACATGTGGGTACTTAAATGAAAGCTCTTGACGAGTGTAACATCAAGATGAGCTTATATCTTTAAAAATGTCAATTTTACCTGAGTTTCTTTTCACTCTCAGCCATAGCAATGCGTAGCTCCTCTTCCCACTGTTTTTCCTTCTCCTCCCTCAACCGCTGCTCCAATTCACGTTCTCTATTGTACACCGGGAAGTCTGGAATAAAAACAAGACCCGTCGGGTCCTGGCTTAGGATGCTGGAAGTTGGTCCACTGAGAACAGCCGGGGATTCTACTTGATCTGCGAGCTCTTGACTGCGTAATGACCTCTGTTTGGCAAGCCGCTTCTTTTTTTTGTGAAGCGGCCGAGCCTCAATAATCATCTCCTCGAGCTCGAAGGTCGGGTCACAGTTCAGGTGGTTCTTGGACGGTGTAAATATTGGTTTTACTTGTTTGAGGTAAACTCTATCAAAGTCTAAATTATTCATGACTTGGAGTTGCTTCAATTGACAGAGAGTGGTGGTACGTTGGTTCGGGTCCAGAGTGAGCAAGCTGTTTAGCAATTGCGACATCGATTGGCTCCATTCTGTCGGGTGAACTGGGCGACAGTCCTGAGGATAAAATAAAATTCAATATAAAAAATACAATATGTATAAGGCTTTGAAAAGGTTGCCATTGTTTCTATTAGCAATCAATAGTTTGCGTTTAATAATAACAATATACTCGCCTGGAGTATCCGGAGGGCTTCTTTGTAACTGGTGCCAGAGTGAATAGGAAAGGGCCGGACGCCTTCAAGTGTCTCCCACGCTAGAATACCAAGGCTCCACCAGTCAACCGTGTAACCGTATCCGGATTGAAAGCCACCGTGGACCTCGCATGAGCACATGTAAATTTCTGGAGCTAATTTACAAGGTAATTTTAGTCAACACACATTGATTCCTTGATTAATCTACTACTTGCTTACGATTAATTCACCTATGGGCGTAATCACCTATGTACGGCTTTGTTCCTGATATTGATGTCGCCAATTGATCGTCCTCCAGTTGGGTTGCTACGTTGAAGTCCGTCACATGGGCATGTCCTACATTTTAATTAAAAAAGTTTTATTTTAATTATAGTTCATAATTTAAAAAATAAATTTTATTATCTATATTATTAAGAGAATAAGCAAAATTTTGTAGCCAGTGTATTTATGTCTTGTATCTCGTGAACTATTGACATTTTTAAAGATATAAGCTCATCCTGATGTTACACTCATCGAGACCTTTCATTTGAGTACCCACATGCATTTTTGACATATATATATAATATATATATGAAAAATTGATGTGGGTACTCAAATAAAAGGTCTTGATGAGTGTAACATCGAGATGAGCTTATATCTTTATAAATATCATAAGTTGACAAAATACAATTTAATTTCTTAATTATTGACATTTTTAAAGATATAAACTCATTTTGATGTTACACTCATCAAGACCTTTCATTTGAATACCCACATCAATTTTTCATATATTTTATATATTTATATATTATATATATGTATATATGAAAAATATATAAAAAATGCATGTGGGTACTCAAATGAAAGCTCTTGATGAGTCTAACATCGAGATGAGTTTATCTCTTTAAAAACGTCATTAATTAAAAAAGTACAGTACAATTCAACAAAATTAATTATTTAATAAAGAAAAATTTTAACTATTTATAATTAACAAGTCACGGCAGTCACATAGTGACTGCAAGGTTGCTAGTTATTATTAAATTTTATAAATATTATTTCAAGAATCAATATTTGATTTCATAGCAATTAAAATAATTATTGAAAATGATTAATTAATTATTACTAAATTACCTTCCTCATCCAACAGGATATTATCAGGTTTAATATCCCTGTGGATGATTCGTCTACTCTTTAAGTAGTCCAATGCCAATGCTATCTCCGCAATGAACAAAATTACACTTTCTTCGGAAAAGTGAACCTGCTGCTGAATATGATACCTCAAGTCTCCTCCAAGAAGAAGATCTGTTACCATAAACAAATCCTCTTCATCTGTAATTAAAAATAAAAAAAAAATAAATATTTAATAAGATATGATAATAATTAATTATTAAATTATTACCTTGAAAACTAAACCACAAGTTGACTAAAAATGGATGCTCCAATTTCGACATTATCTCGACCTCTCTTGTTACATTTTTTAAAGCACCTCTCATAGCGCATTCTGATTTATGTACATATTTCATGGCATACATTTTTCCGCTACGTTCGCCCTTTTCTACAATACACACCTTCCCGAAACTTCCTTTCCCTATTGCACGAAGCACTTGGAAGTGATTGAAGTTTACTACAATAAAAAAAAAAAACGAATAAAAAGTTATTTTTTATTTTAGCGTACTCGACGTTTTACGATGAATAGACTCTTTTAAAGCTTTTCTTTTATAATACAATTTATTTTTTTATTTTATTGTCAACTTAAAAAACTTTTATTATTAAATTAAATTAAAGTATCCGGTGTAAAAAAATTACAATATTGGAATTATCTTTGCCGTATACTTCGAACAATTGATTAAAAAAAAAAAAAAATTCCTACTACGATAAAGCGCGTAATTACAAAATTTTAATTAAAATAAATCAATACTGTATTATAATTACAAAGTTAAGAGACTAAATTTACCTGAAGATAAACTTTTAAAACAAATTAAAAGTACGCGTGAAATAATTAATTTATAAAGTATATTATAATTAATAAAATAAATAAATGAATAATAATAAATTAATTACCGATATTAATATTAATCTATATTATTATTATTATTATATTTTTATAGTTAAATTTAGTATCATTAGAAAGGTCTTAACCTGGAGTTGTGCCTTTTCAAGTTTTCTTATCATTCTCACCAATATTCAATTTATAATGATAAGTATTTAGGCTGCATTAGAAAATTTTCTATCTCTAGATTCATAATTAAGAAATGACCTTGTATCTCGTGAACTATTGACATTTTTAAAGATATAAGCTCATCCCGGTGTTTTACTCATGAAGACCTTTCATTTGAGTACCCACATGCTTTTTTTATATATTTTTCATAAATACTTATATATAATATATATAAATATATGAAATATATGAAAAATTGATGTGGGTACTCAAACGAAAGCTCTTGATGAGTCTAACATTGGGATGAGCTTATATCTTAAAAAATGTCAATAATTAAGAACTGAATTGCTATCTTGTCAACTAATGACATTTTTAAAGATATAAGCTCATCCCGATGTTACCCTCATCGAGACCTTTCATTTGAGTACCCACATCAATTTTCCATATATTTCATATATTTATATATATTATATATATAAGTATATATGAAAAATATATCAAAAAATGCATGTGGGTACTCAAATGAAAGGTCTTGATGAGTGTAACATCAGGATGAGCTTATATCTTTAAAAACTTCAATAGTTAAAAAAGTACAGTGCAATTTAACAAAAGTCATTATTTAATAAAGCAAAATTTCATTAATTTATAGTTCACATAGTGACTGCAAGATTCCTAGTTACCATTAAAAAAATAAACAATAAATTTTTTCTAAAACAAAAATAATTGTAAAGAAGAAATACACTTAGAATATTAAATGAAGTAATAATATAAATGTAAATATTTACCTTCCTCCCCCGGCGTAGGCACACTTCGTGAGTGATGACCACCCATACTTATTATCTCTTATATAAAAATGTTTGTAACTATAAAATTTGCATATCGCCGACATTACATTAATAAGACACTAAAAAGTTGTAAATATCTGGTCCCAAGTGACAATCCATATAAAAAGTAATTTTTTATATTGCGCATTAGTTTTCAGCAAGTCCAGACTGGTCAAACAAGTAAATTATTAATAAAATGTATATATATAAAACGAACTCTATAAAATAAGTAGAACAATGTATATCAATAAAAGTTAATAAACTAAATAAATAGAAGTAACATGTATGTAAGTCATACCTTTTTTAATGAAGTAATTGACCCAAATAGCTCTCTGGTAATGTAAGGCAAGTTTAAATTAACTTTAGTTATAGCATGAGAGAGCTGAGCTTACTTACGGCAGCCTCGTAGATTTTCCGTGTTATGATCAACACTGTTCAGTGCTGGTACGCTGCCGACAACCCTAGCACCCACGCATGAAAAACCGCGCATCCTCCCACATACTCCCATTCGTTCGATGGCTATAGACCCAAGTCATGACCCGATAACAGCATATATACGTTATTTCAACAGTCAAGACACATAAAAGCTCTCATTTTATCCTTCTGTTCAATCTATTACAATACATTCTGGATTACGAGAACTGCCTTAGGGCTTTTTTTATTATTTTTTTATCTGAGAACCGCTGCTCACATTATTTTTCTTCGACGTTCTATTAATCCTTTTAGGTCGCCTCTTTCTACTTTCCACCTCAACCCATCGACGCTTATCAATCTCCAATACCATTCAATTCAATCCCAGTCTGTATGGATTCTCTTTCTATTTCTTCTTTTTGTTCATAACCGCAAATAGATTTTCGTACCACCCAGACCTAAAAAAATTATATCTATTACAGTTAAATTGATATGTCTGTCAATTTTTAAGTATTTTAATTTTTTAGTACTTTACTACTGATTGGATACTCTTCTATAGAGATGATGAATTTTTATCTGAAAGAAATTAAAGAATTTTTTATAATTTATATTTAAATGTTTAATTCTTTTTGATAATTTTAGCAATAATAAAATTTAAAAAATTTTTATAGCATGAAAGTCAATTATAAATAAAAAAAATTTTTTCTTTATTATATAATGATTTTAGTTAAATTGCACTGTCATTTTTTAAATATTGATATTTTTAAAGATATAAGCTCATCATGAAGTTACACTTATCAAGAGCTTTCATTTGAGTACTCACATACATTTTTCATATATTCATATATATAATATATATAAATATATGAAATATATGAAAAATTGATGTGGCTACTCAAATGAAAGGTCTTGATGAGTGTAACATCAAGATGAGCTTATGTCATTAAAAATGTCAATAGTTCACGAGATATAAGGTAATTTCTCACTTATTGACATTTTTAAAGATATAAGCTCATCCCGATGTTACCCTCATCGAGACCTTTCATTTAAGTACCCACATGCGTTTTTTATATATTTTTCATATATACATATATATATAATATATATAAATATATGAAATATATGAAAAATTGATGTGGGTACTCAAATCAAAGGTCTCGATGAGTGGAACATCATAATGAGCTTATATCTTTAAAAATGTCAATAGTTCTCAAGATACAAGATAATTTCTTAATTATGCATCTAGAGAATATTTTCGAATGCAGCCTAAATACTTATCATATCATAAATCTTTTAAATAAATAAAAATTAAAATATTTAAAACAAATTGCAAGTTTTTTATATTAATAATTTTCTCAATAAAAATTTTCAGTCAGCTAATTAAATTTCCAGAAGAAATAAAAGCAACCTTAGAAATAATAATTTTTCTACAAACCTAATACTTACATGTAGGACTTTTAAAACTTCGAATACTGGAGTGGGTAATATAATGTGGGAGCTGAGTATCTCTTATATTATGATTATTATGAATCCCGAGTTAGATGTAATATGTAGGAGCAATACAAGAATATAAGTAAAAAGTAAAGCATCGAGATGGGCAGAAATGATTGGAGGGGATGAAGGGAATAGAAGTAAAGTGTGAGTCACTGCTGGTACGATACTGGATAGTGGATAGGATACTATACGGTGAACTGGTGGGACTGGGACTTTACTCAAACTCAAAAGCGGCTATTTAATATTATATATGTAAGAGCAAGAGAGGATACGTACCATACTGTTGTTGTTACTGCCCGTATTATATTCAGTATTATGTTTTCGAGTTAAGACAAGGACAGAAGCACATCGGACCGGAGGCATTGTACTCTACTCACAGCTCACAGCCGTCGTCATGCCGCATGCGTTCCATGTTCCAGGTGCTGGCCAGTGCTGGTAGTTCTGTCTTGCATGGTCTTGCAATCAGTATTTTTTTTAACTATTTGTGTCCTTTCAAATTTAATCTTCATTAAAAGCCTAAAATTATTAATTATAAAAATTTATTTAATATTTATACAGTGTAAATAATTGTACAAAAAGTTTTCCAGTGATAGTAATAATAAATAAATAAATAAATAACAATAATAATAATAATAATAATAATAATAATAATAGTTACCAAAATTGATGCATTTAGCATTGAACAGCTGGTGTGATATTATAATTAACTTTATGGGAATATTTTTGATGGTACGATAATTTATATTTAAATTTAATAATAATAAAGTTAGCCGACATTTTTAATTTTTCGTTTTTTTTTAATAATTAAATTAAAACAAAAAAAAAATTTTTTTATAATAATTTTTTCAATAAAAAAAAATTCTAAAAATTTTTAGATGTCGGCTAACTTAATATTTATTTAAATTTATATTTATATTGATATAAATTGCATATATATATATAGTTAATTAAAGTGACAGTTTTTTTTTGTTTACAAAAATTAATTGTTAATTTTTTTTGTCATTGTTAATTGTGGAAATATTTTTTAATTTGATTCTAAAAGTGACAGCTGAGACATGTGGTATTGTTAAAAATTTAATGACAACAATAATAATAATAATGAGAGGTTGTAGTTAGTTTTTTTTTGTATATATGTGCGAAGTGTAGGGTGGAATATTAATATAACACGCGATGCGGTATTTTGGCGCTTGGATAAATGTAATACGACGCTACTTTTATCACATATATTATATATGTATTCCGCGAAAATTTATATCAATATAAATAAATATATAAATGTGAGAGTGAGAGTGTATGGATGTGTAGAAAATTTGCTTACAATTTTTTATCGAAGCTAACACGTGTTGCAGAATATAAAGCTGTACTTGCTGGAATATTATCTGGCAGGAATTCAAAGGAAGTAGGGAGTAAGTCCTATGGAAAGAAAAAAATTACTCTGGATTTCATTCAGTACTTGATAGTTTGCCAACTGGATAATTTAAATAAAAATAGCATTTTTAAATTATAATAAAATAGTAAACGAACAAGTGAGTATTTTTAGTTATTATTTAACTATAAGTAAAGTGATTAAAAATAATAAAATTAGCCGACCTTAAGTAATTTTTTTCAACTAAATTAAAAGTAAAAAAAAAAAATTACATGTATAATTTTTAAAAATTTTTTTGTAATAATTTTTTCAATAAAAAATTTTTTATGTCGGCTAACTTTATTTTTATCATCAAATTTAGCAGTTACTTAATAATTTTTTTAACAAAAAAATTTGTTTAAAAAAATTCTACTTAATTTTTAAATGTCAATTTTTTTTTTTGCCATAATTTAATTGTTAAAAAAATTATTAAATTAATTTTAAATAGAAGCTAATTTAATTGTTCATATTTAACCTTCAGAATGGCAGGATTGGGCCCAGTGATACCTTCAGTGGCAGGAAACACTGCTCCATTGCCAATTACCTCAATATCTCTAGGAAGTACACAGAAAAAAAGTTGGATCCGCAGAGTAGCTCCTTGCTTGGCATTTCTAGCGGCCTTTTCTTCGGCAATGGCTTTACTGTTAATTTGGAGCGAAGCTGCAGCTCTCAGGTAAAAAATTTCTTGAATAAATTATTCCTAAAAGCTAAAATTCCGTAAAAATCATTAGTCACTCATCTGCTATTATATTTTATTTAAACTTGATCTAAAAAAATAAAAATCTTTTCATTATTCTCTAAAGTATTTTATAAAAAATATTTAAAATTTGCAGAAGACAAGCATTCGACGCAAACATGACAAAAGACTACGTACTCCGAAGTGTCTCGATGGACAACCCTCAGCTGGTGGCATACATCCGGGAAGTCCAGTTCAAAAGAGCGACTCACCAGTTCAACTTCAACGTGTCTGAAACCGGGGAAGAAAAGTCCCTGGTAGCTCTTCTTCAAGGCAAACGCAATGGTGTTTATCTTGAGTATATAAACCGGCCGGGTGCTGTGTTTACAACCTCCTGGCTCGAGTCCAAGTACGGCTGGCGTGGAGTTCTTGTTCTTACTGACTTCAGGTCCTTTTTTGAAACATGCAAAAGCAGTAAAAATCCAGCTACACGTGTTATTCACGCTTGTTTGAGTACCGACAAAGATACCAAGGAGGTAATTTTCATTTTTTTTTAGATTCTTTGGTAAATTAGAAATTTTTCATCATTTTTTTGAAATTATCTTTAAAGTAAATTTTTAATAAATTAAATATTAAAGTGACTTTTTTTTTTTTTCAAGAGTAAAACTTAATTTTGTTCAAAAAAAATTTTTTTTTTCGATTTTTTGGTAAATTCACACAAAATATTTTTATTTTTTAAAAATTATTTTCTAAGTAACTTTTTAATAAATTAAATATTAAAATTACTTTTTTTTCTCAAGAATAAAACTTAATTTTCTCAAAAAAAATTTTTTTTGTGAATTCACCCCAAACATTATATTTTTTTTAAATTATCTTTTAAATAAATTAAATATTAAAATTATTTTTCTTACAAGTAAAACTTCACGTGCTACCAAAAAAATATTTATATAATTTATTTAAAACCTAAAAAAAAATAAATATTATGATTAATTATTCATATCGTAAAAAAGGGCTTTTTTTATGTATACTCATGTTATTAACTAAAACATGAATACTTTATTTAAAAAAAATTTGAAATGTTGTTGAGTCACTTACGAGCTTTTACTCGCCGGCTTTAAATAGTAACTCAGCCCCACCGGTCTGCATCAAGTGGTTCCGTGGTGTAGCGGTTATCACATCTGCTTTACACGCAGAAGGTCGCCAGTTCGATCCTGGCCGGAATCATATTTTTTTTTTTTTTTTTCCCAACATATATTATAAATATATTTTTTTTTTTTTTTTTTTACTTTTTAGATTACTTATCATCAAGAATCAGAAGTTCGTGTTACAAAATTAGGGGAGGGACCAAATAGTATTATTTTCTCCGATGAAGGTCTGCCGACTATGAGACTAAAGTGCTTTCCATTGTACAGCGTGCTGCTTGCATACAATCACACAAATATTGATTATTTAAATCTCGACAGTACTGATATATCTGACATCCAGGTAGCTATTTTAATAATTTAAGCAGTAATAATAATTCATTAATAAAATAATTTTTTACCTTAGGTACTTGACACTCTTCCATGGGACAAAGTTCAGATAAACTTCTTATCGATTCGCTGGAGTGACAATCACACTAAAGCAGAATTTGAAGATCTTGTTAATAAACTTAAAGTCAGGAAATACAGGTTCCTTCAGCCAACCGACACTGGAAAATTAATATTTATGTACTCTAGAGTTAAAATATAATTATTAGCTAATTATTAGATCCAGAGTGATAAATGCCAGTAATTGTCGCTACAATTGTGAGACAATTAAATATTTTTCGGTATTTTATAGGTCATTTCTTAATATAAGTTAGAGTATTATTTTTTAGTGATTACAAAATGGTGATAAAAAAAAATTTATTTTTTTTTTTTTTCTAATCCAACCTGTAATTTTATTTAAAAATAATTAATTTTACTTTTAAATCTACTTAAATAATCTATTAAGTATTTCTAATTTGTGTGTTTATAAATATATTAATTATAATTAATATTATATATTATTTAGCAAAAAAAAAAATTAATCAGAGTTTTTTTGATAAAAACTCCGAGTTACCAGTGAGCAGTGAGCTGATTAATTAATTAAATAATTAATTAAGTATAATAAAGTAAAAATACTGTAAGGGCCTTATTAGCACGTAAGTTAATATTTTGATGAATAAAATATTATAAATTAAAATACTTATTTCGAAAAATGTGATTACGATTATAAAAAGGTATCAAAAGAGATTTTGTCTTATGAAATTTTTTGTTTACAATTTTTTATAAATAAATATAAATTAAAAAAAATTGTATATTAAAGCAAATAATATATAAAACCCTTCTTTCTCTTTAAAACGTTAGTAATTATCACAGCGATTATGAAGAAATATGTGAACCAATAGATTCAAGGAAGAATCGTCGAGTAAATACGATTTGAGACCACTCAGTAAACTAAACAAAGTAACCATACTTACGTATAATTTTTTTATCAGGTTAACTTTGTAAATAGAGAGATAAAACACCCAACTAATGGCTCGTTGCTCAATATCATTAATATTATTTTTAAATCTAACATTTTTCATCAGATTGAGGGTCGAACAAATTAGCTTTGGAATGACAAACTCAAAGCACTTGATAGTTATCACTGAGGTGCATCGGCTTGTAGAAGAAAATTTTTTACAATTCCCAACAGTTCAGATAACTTTGATCAATGATATCAGATAGTATCTACCAGGTATCCGTGACATGCGGATAATTTCTTCATTAATCGGTCGATTATTCTGTAATCAAAAGTACAAGTCAAATTAGTTGATAATAAAGATTTGGTTGTATTTTATAAAAAATTCTAAGAAGAAGAAATGGAGACAACTGAAATGATGATTGAGACGCCGCGTACTAACCAAGAGAGCAAGAAACTCTGGCAATACTTGGCGGCTTTTTCAGGTACTTGATTTAAGTAATACCTTGCAGTCACTATGTGACTGCCGTGACTTGTGAACTAAAAATAAATACAAATTTGCGTTATTAAATAATGACTTTTGTTAAGTTGCACTGTACTTTTTTAAATATTGATATTTTTAAGGATATAAGCTTGTCATGATGTTACACTCATCGAGAGCTTTCATTTGAGTACCCACATGCATATTTGATATATTTTTCATATATACATATATATAATATATATATAAATATATAAAATATATGAAACACTGATGTGGGTACTCAAATGAAAGGTCTCGATAAGTGTAACATCGAAATGAGCTTATATCTTTAAAAATGTCAATAGTTAATAAAATACAAGGTCATATCTTAATTATTGACATTTTTAAAGATATAAGCTCATCCCGATGTTACACTCATCGAGACCTTTCATTTGAGTACTCACATGGCAATTTTTATATATTTTATATATATGGTATTTGTGAAATATATAAATATATGAAAAATTGATGTGGGTACTCAAATGAAAGGTCTCAATGAGAGTAACATCAGGATGAGCTTATATCTTTAAAAATTTCAATAGTTAAGAAATTATATTGTATTTTGTCAATTTATGATATTTTTAAAGATATAAGCTCATCCCGATGTTACACTCATCAAGAGCTTTCATTTGAGTACCCACATGCATATTTGATATATTTTTCATATATACATATATATATAATATATATAAAAAAATATATGAAAAATTGGTGTGGGTCTCAATTAGTGTAACATCGAAATGAGCTTATATCTTTAAAAATGTCAATAGTTCACAAGATACAAGGTGATTTCTTAATTATTACGTGTTTTAGCGAGTATACTAGCGATAGGAGTCGGAAGTTCTCTAGCATGGACATCGCCGGTGTTGATAAAGCTCTCCGCTAAGGATTCCTGGCTCCCAGTGAGTGAAGAACAGGGCTCATGGGTGAGCTCTCTCCTGGCTATCGGAGCAATGGCCGGAGCGTTCCCCGCCGGAAGCTTAGCCGACAAGCTAGGCCGCAAAAAAGCCCTGCTTCTTCTCGCGGGGCCATTTCTTCTTTCCTGGACGATGATAATCTTCGCCAAAAGCGTGTGGGTGCTCTACATAGCAAGGTTCGTCGGCGGAATTTCTGTAGGAGCGTCTTGTGTCCTAGTTCCTACTTACATCGCCGAGATAGCTTCTCCCTCGGCTCGTGGTACTCTAGGGGCTATTTTTCAGCTGTTTCTCGCTTTTGGAATTGTTCTGACCTTTGTTCTAGGCTCGACGGTGTCTTATACTGTTTTAGGGATTCTTTGTGGACTAGTTGAAGTTATTTTTATCGCTGCTTTCTTCTGGATGCCTGAATCACCAATGTGGCTTGTGGTAATTTTATTAACTAAAATAAAAATAACAATTATATTAAAAATTTTTTACATTGATTATTTATGTTATTAATTTAAAAATTTTAAATAACAATAATAATAATGACATTGAAATTTTTTATATTATTATTATTTACTTACAATTTATTATTAAAGGGACAAGGAAGAAAACCCGAAGCTTCAATAGCTCTCGGAGTATTCCGAGGCGACGGGTACGACACCTATGAAGAAATATCCGAAATGCAGAGAGAAGTTGAAGAAAATACAACAAAAAAAAGCTCTGTATTTGATTTAATAAAAACTTCAGGAGCTAGAAAAGCTGTGTTAGCTTCTTTTGGATTAATGGCGTTCCAACAATTATCAGGAGTCAACGCTGTTATTTTTTACACCGTAACAATATTCAAAGCAGCTGGCAGTAGTTTAAATTCAGATGTCGCTGCGATAATTGTCGCTTTGGTTCAAGTAAATTAAAACAACTGTTTTAATTAAAAAAAAAAAAAACCATTTCTTCACAACATTCACAACTAAAAAAAAATAAATAACTCCTTAAAATTTCAGGCAGTGATGGCAGGAGTAGCAGCATTAATTGTCGACCGATCTGGAAGAAAACCTCTATTAATATTCTCTTCTTCTTTCATGGCAATTAGCCTAGTAGCTCTTGGATTATATTTTAACCTCAAAGATGGCGGTAAAGATGTTTCTAACCTCGGATGGTTACCTCTTGTATCTCTAACTCTTTTTATGATTGCATTTTCTGTTGGGTAATTATAATAGCTACTGTCTGAAATTTTTTTTTCACCACAGATATCACTGAGTATAATCGGGGATGACATCCAGTGTTATCTTGTTTTTTCCGTGTAAATTTAATTATTAAAATTTTTTTTTAGTCTCGGACCCATTCCTTGGATGATAATGGGCGAATTATTCACCACAGAAACAAAAGCCATGGCTTCGGGATTAGCCGTAATGCTAAATTGGTTTTTAGTATTCCTTGTCACTAAAACATTCCCATCTATGAAAGAACAATTGGGCGCTGCAGTTACTTTTTGGGTGTTTGCTGGAATAATGGTAGTCGCAACCGTCTTTGAATATTTCTTCGTTCTGGAAACAAAGGGAAAAACATTACAAGAAATACAAAGTGCATTAAACGGAGAAGATCAAATTGAGAGAACAAGACGCCCTTAAATTAAATAAATACTAGTCTAATAATAAAATATATTTTTATATTATTATTTTTTATCTCTATTACTAATTAATAATTATCATTGCCAAGTTTTATGTACAGTAGCATTAATCATAACAATGATATTTTTTATCAGTAAAAATTTTTAAATCGATCAAATCTAGGAAGCTTTTTTATAATAGCAAAAAATGTAAACTTTACTCAAGATTCTACATCGATAATTGTTATCACTTTATAATCTTTTAAAAATCAAAATCACGTACAATACACTAGAGCATTACAAAAAAAAAAAAAAAAAAAAAATATTAGTAATAGCTTCTTGATTGTTTTATTATCAAGAAATTTATTTTAGCAGATTTTAATTTAATTACATTAGATAAAAAAAAATTTTAGCCAACAATTAAAATGTAAACTAACACTAAATAAAAAAATATTTAAATACATACTCTAGACTATTAAATTTTCGAGATAATGCCGATTAAAAGAGGTATAAAAGGTGGCATCAAACTTGATGGCATTATTCTAGTTAATTATCTTCAAATGGCACCAGAATAGTCCATTGAGATCTTTATATTCAATTCACCAGTCGTATATATCTGGCGTTACGTCAAGCGACATTATAAAAGTGAACATTATTTATTAACTTATTGTTGTTTGGTACTTGAAAACAATTAGCTAAATTTATCAGGTAATTTTTAACATTTATTTCTCGGTAGATATTTCTGGCGCCTCATTTGGATTTTCTCGTTTGAAATAAAGCGTCTGAAAAAATTATTAATCATTATCTGAGTGGTGGTTGAGTATAGGGTTGTCAATTTAAAAACAATAAAAAATATCAATTGAACGTTAGAGTCGATCAACGCCCCACTATGGCTAGTAAAGAGGATTCATCGATAGAGGGGCGATATAAAGAGTATCAATATGAGGCCGTGGCTACAAGTCTTCCTGTGTCACCTCCGGACCTTCACACTACCCTCGATAACAAACCAGACAATAATTACTCTTCAATCACTTACGTCGACAATAGAGCTGATCCTTGTGGTAACAAAGGATTCTTCAATAGCAAATTCAATAAAATGGAGCGGGAAAAAGGCTCCAAATTGTTCCAATTCATTGCTGCTACTGCTGGTAATTAATAAAATAATCCACCATTCATCTGTAATAATATTTATCATATTTCTTTTGTTAAATTATTTATTTGATTGAGTTTTAGACAATGAAAAAAATTTTTTTCTGATAAAACAATAAGAGCATAAATAATAAAAAAAAATAATAAGCTATTTAAATTATTATAAATAATAAATAACATTGATTTAAATAATTAGCGGAAATTATTTACTTGAAGTGTTAAATATTTATAAAACGTAGATTGATAAATTATAGTTGCAATTAAATTAATAAATTTTTTTAGCTACTGCTTCAAAATATCTCCAATACAAGGTTTTTCAGTTTTATACTTATTGTTATAATTAAGTGTAATTAAAAATGGATCGATAACTTTTTTTTAAACATTTAGCGTGTAAAAGTACTACCTAAATTGCATTAGTGAAATAAAAAAAGTAAAATAATAAAACGGTAAATAATTGTTCTGCGATAATGCCACGGCTATCACAGATAGTACAAAGTCACTTGAGTTTTTTTTTTCAAGCAAAATGACAATATCGAGTAGTGTATATAGATACTATAAAGCAAATAATGCTAGATACTAAATTGTACCAGTCGTTAAATCGATTGCTCGCGGATTTATTTTTCCTGAGCTTTAAAAAAATCATTTAAATTCAATATGACGGTAAAATCTTACCCTCTTTTTAATACTACTAGCAAACATCGCCGTGGTTGCTGGAGGCGCTACTCTGGGATGGACTAGTCCGATTTTGTTGATGCTAAAAAAAGACCCGGTGAGTCCTGACAATCCTATAGGAAGACCTATTAGTGAAGACGAAGCGTCTTGGATTGGATCGCTGACTCCAGTCGGTGCGTTGGTTGGTGGTTTTTTCGCTGGATACTTAGCTGAAACGTATGCAAACATAAATAATAATAAATAATAGATAGAAAATTCCTAATTAATTAATTAATAATTATAATACTAAAGTTAGAAAACAATTATCAATTTTTTTTTTAATAACAGATTAGTTACAAAAAAAAAAAATGCTTCTAAAAATTTCCAATTCTAATTTTTTTTCATTTTTACATCTGGAATTTTTTTATTTAATTTTTTATAGAGTAATTTAATTGTTATAAAATTATTACAAAATTTTTAATGTCTAAAAATTGTCAATTTTTTTTAATTTTATAACAAATTAATTACATAATTATAAAGTTAGCCGACATTTTTTATTTTGCTTCATTTATTAAATTAGAACTAAAAAATACCTAATAAAATTTTTTTCAAATTTTCTACTTGCTAAATTTTTTGTAATAGGTTTTTTTTCTTTAATAAAAAAAATTATAAATGTCAGCTAACTTAATTTTTATAATTAAGTTTAATTACTTATTAATTATTGTTACAATAGAGAAAAAATGCGTCTTAAAGTTTCCACTTATCATTTTTTTGAAGTTTTACATGTGGAATTTTTGAATTTAATTTTTTTCATAATAATTTCATTGCTAAAAAATTTCTAATGTCTTTCAACTTCAATGTAATTATTAATAATTACCAATATTTCAGGTTTGGAAGACGCACAACCTTACTATCAAGTGTAATACCTTCAACCCTAGGATGGATTCTAATAGCGACAGGACAAAGCGTAGAAATGTTCTACGTCGCAAGGTTCATTTTTGGCGTAGCTTTGTCCATTTCCTTTGCTGTCCTGCCAATGTACTGCGGTGAAATCGCAGAAACTTCAATTCGAGGAATTCTCGGGTCATTTTTGCAATTGTTTATTACTGTAGGCTTACTGTGGGCCTACAGTATTGGTCCATATGTTTCTTACACAAGTTTTTGGATATCTTGTGCAGCTTTGCCCATCGCTTTCTTCGTTTTGTTCTTCACGATGCCAGAATCGCCATATTACTTAGCAGCTAAGGGTCGCAAAGAAGATGTCATCAGCGCTCTAGTAAGATTGCGGGGAAAAAGTAAAGATGCGGTACGTGCTGAAGCTGATGAAATAGAGGTTAGTTTATAAATTAATAATTAATTAATTAATTTATAACTTAATGAACTCATTTTTTGAAATTTTTTAAATAAAAAAATGCTTTGAAATTTTTTCACTAATAATTTTTTAAAATTTTCACATTTAAAATTTAATAATTAAATTTTATTTTAATTAATAATAATTTAATTGTTATAAAATTATAAAAAAATTTTTAGTATCTGTCAAAACTTCAGTGTCATATTAATTTTAATAAAAAAAAAAAATAATATTAATAATGATAATATTTACTTAATTCATCAGACAACTGTTCGAGATGCTTACAATAAAGAAGCGAAGATAACAGACCTGTTCACGATCAAGGCCAATTTCAAAGCGCTAATTTTCACGTGCTTGCTGGTAATTTTTCAACAGATGACAGGTATTAATGTTGTTCTGTTCTATTCAGAGAATATTTTCGCTAGCGCGGGTAACAGCGGAATCAGTTCTTCAATCGAGACGATAATTGTCGGAATTGTTCAATTTCTTGCTTCCGGTGTGACACCACTGGTGGTTGACAGACTGGGAAGAAAGATACTTTTAATTATTTCCGGAACGGGAACAGCTATAAGTCTAGTAAGTTTTTACAAAAAATTAAAAAAAAAATTTAGAATTGTAATTTAATTAATTTTATATTCACAGGGAATTCTTGGATTGTTTTTTTATCTGAAAGACGAAGCCAAAAATGACGTGAGTAATATTGGCTGGCTGCCAATAGCTTCATTGATAATCTTCATCGCTACGTACAGCATCGGTTGGGGTCCGCTTCCTTGGACAGTTATGGGTGAAATGTTCTCCACGGAAGTTAAATCCAAGGCCTCGGGGATAGTTGTCTTTGCCTGCTGGTTTTTGGGATTCTTGATCACCAAGTACTTCAGCAATATCGCGGCAGCGTGGGGACAATACACTGCCTTCTGGCTCTTTGGAGTTTTCTGCGTCCTAAGTGTCCTGTTCACAGTATTTATTTTGCCGGAAACTAAAGGTAAGTCCCTGCAAGAAATCCAAGACGAGCTCAGTGGAACTAGTCATAAATAATTAAAATAATTGTCTTAAAAAAAATAATGTTAAATTTCTTCTCTGTTAAATAGCAATGATAAGTTTGATCAAATATTTATCTATTTATATAATTAATTAACTTAATATTTATTGTATCATAAATGTCCACAATAAAATAATGCATGTATACATTTACCCAATTACCATTATCATTATTATTTAATATCTGATTGATAAAGACAGTGAGTAATTCGATTTCGATTGCGGATTATTTTAACAGTAATTTTTGAGTGTAATCAATAACAATTACAATCAAAATGTAATGTATGGAGCGTATTAATACTCACGCACGTAAACAACAGTAGCTTGAATTTATTTTAACGAATGGCTTCCGTCAGAGTCCTTCTTCATTCGAAATAATTCGCGTGTACTGTTCTTATTTACTGATCGAGATTGCCGATGTGATTACTCTAAAATTATTGTAATATAATTGTTCGTTTTTGCTGCAACTATTGCGGCGTTAAAGACTACTTTGGATAATTTATTCATTCTTTTGACGTCCAAGTCTACCTTGACAGTGAATAAGTCCTTCGATAACAACAAAATGAAGACAGACACTCAAGGTTCCAAAGCACTTCAATTTGTCACTGCTATTACAGGTAATTCACATAAATATCTACACTAAATGTTAATCTTCAATGTAATTAGTAATTAGTAATAAGCCATTATCTTCTTTATCTAAAAATACTGTGATTTAATTATACGAAAAAACCTGAAACATATGTAAGGTAAAATGATTAAAGATTGATGAAATAAACTTATGCAATAAAACCCGTTACCCGCTGACAAGCCAGCGGTTGGATATAAATCACCGATTTTTTAAATAAAATAATAATGTATCTTATTAAATCTACAGTTGAGTATTGGCATAACGTGATTACCGATGATGATAATGATTTCAGTGAATTTATGTGTGATGGGAGGCGGTGCGATAATGGTTTGGTCGAGTCCAATTTTGCTGATGCTCCAAAGTGATCCAGTGGAAGAAGATAACCCGCTTGATCGACCAATTACTGACGAAGAAGCGTCCTGGATTGGAGCATTGTCTCCAATGGGTACTCTAGTGGGATGTCTCTTCCCAGGATACTTGGCTGAGAAGTAATTATCAATTAGTCAATTATTAACATGTTAATTAAGTCAATGTTAGTGAAGATGATTGAAATATAAACGATTGCAGGTTGGGAAGACGAACTACTTTATTGTGTAGCATAATACCTATGGCAGTAAGCTGGGCGCTTATTTTCACAGGAAAAAGTATTGAATTCTTGTATGCGGCCAGATTTATTGGAGGCCTAGCGGTTGCTATATCATTTGGAGTAATACCAGTTTACTGCGGCGAAATCGCGGAACCTTCAATTCGAGGAATACTCGGTTCATTTTTCCAAATATTCATTACCTTCGGTCAACTGTGGGCTTACAGTATTGGTCCGTTTGTCTCGTACATGAATTATTGTATCGCTTGTGCTGTCTTGCCAATCGCTTTCTTCATCACCTTCTACCCAATGCCCGAATCGCCGTACTACTTGGCGGCAAAAAGTCGCAAGGAAGATGTCATCAGAGTGTTGATGAGACTAAGAGGAAAAAAAAGAGAAGAAGTTGAAATGGAAGCTAATGAAATCGAGGTCATGATCGAATTTTTATTATTAATTATGTGAGTTATTTTAAAGCGAATTTTTTTACTCCAGGTTTCCGTTCAAGAAGCTTACAACAAACAAGCAACAATATTGGATTTGTTTAAAGTAAAAGCCAATTTAAAAGCGCTTATTGCTACGTGCGCACTGATTATTTTTCAACAGATGAGCGGAATTACAGTTATTGTTCTTTACTCGGAGCTTATCTTTTCAAGCGCTGGAGAATTTGGCTTAAGTTCATCCGTTCAGTCAATTATTGTAAGACTGGTTCAATTTCTGGGCACCTGTATCAATCCTTTCGTTGTTGACAGACTGGGGCGCAAAATCCTATTAATTATATCCAGCTCAGGCGCCGGTTTAAGTCTGGTAAGTTAATTATAGTCTTTTTTAAACTACTTTCACTAAAAATAAATCACAATTCCGTTTAGGGAGTTCTTGGACTGTTCTTTTATCTGAAAGACGCTGCTGGAACTCAAGTCAGTCATGTCGGCTGGTTACCAATATTTTCCTTGGTTACTTTCATGGCAACCTACAGCCTCGGATTGGGTCCTCTTCCTTGGACAATAATGGGCGAAATGTTTTCCCAGGAAGTTAAGTCTAAAGCATCAACAATTGTTGTTTTTACATGTTGCTTTTTAGCGTTTATTAGTAGTAAATACTTTATTAATATGGCAATAACTTTTGGTCAATATACCGCAATGTGGTTCTTTGGATTTTTTTGCATCTTAAGTTTATTATTTGTCGTATTATTTCTTCCTGAAACTAAAGGGAGGTCATTACAGGAGATTCAAGACGAACTTAGTAGAAAAGCGCGTAAATAATTGTACTCCATTAATCATAAGATTAATAATAATTAATAAAAAATCTTTTTATACTTCAAATAGTAAAAATAATTTCCAACAAACATATTCGCGTTTCGTCGGGCAAACTCGATTAAAACGAAGTTGCCGCTTTCCGCTGGTTTTTGGGATTCTTTATCGCCAAGTACTTTAGCAATATCGCGGCAGCGTGGGGACAATACACTGCCTTCTGGCTCTCTGGAGTTTTCTGCGTCCTAAGTGTTCTATTCACAGTATTTATTTTGCCGGATACTAAAGGTAAGTCCCTGCAAAAAATCCAAGACGAGCTCAGTGGAACTAGTCATAAATAATTAAAATAATTGTCTTTTAAAAAAAATAATGTTAAATTTCTTCTCTGTTAAATAACAATGATAAGTTTAATCAAATATTTATCTATTTATATAATAAATTAACTTGATATTTATTATATCATAATTGTACACAATAAAATAATGTATGAATATATTTACCCAATTATCATTATTATTTAATACCTGATTGATAAAGACAGTGAGTAGTTCGATTTCGATTGCTGATTATTTTAAAAATAATCAAATTGAATTACAAGAACAATGAAGTATATAGAGCGTATTCATACTCACGCACGTGAACAACGTTAGCTTGAATTTATTTTAACGAATGGCTTCCGTCAGAGTCCTTCCTCATTCGAAATAATTCGCGTGTGATGTTCTTATCTACTGATCGAGATCACCGGTGTGATTACTCTAAAATTATTGTGTCATAATTGCCCGTTCTGTCAGTTTTTACTGCAACTATTGCGGCGTTAAAAACTACTTTGGATAATTTATTTATTCTTTTGACGTCCAAGTCTACCTTGACAATAAACAAGTCCCTCGATAACAACAAAATGAAGACCGACAAAGACACTCAAGGTTCCAAGGCACTTCAATTTGTCGCCGCTATTACAGGTAATTCACATAAACATCTACACTAAATGTTAATCTTGAATGCAATTAGTAATTAGTAATAAGCCATTATCTTCTTTATCTAAAAATACTGTGATTTAATTATACGAAAAAACCTGAAACATATGTAATGTAATGATTAAAGATTGATGAAATAAACTTATGCAATAAAACCCGTTACCTGCTGACAAGACAGCGGTTGGATATAAACCACCGATTTTTTAAATAAAATAATAATGTATCTTATTAAATCTACAGTTGAGTATTGGCATAACGTGATTACCGATAATGATAATGATTTCAGCGAATTTATGTGTGATGGGAGGCGGTGCGATAATGGTTTGGTCGAGTCCAATTTTGCTGATGCTCCAAAGTGACCCAGTGGAAGAAGAAAACCCGCTTGATCGACCAGTTACTGACGAAGAAGCGTCCTGGATTGGAGCATTGTCTCCGGTGGGTACTCTGGTGGGATGTTTCTTCCCAGGATACTTGTCTGAGAAGTAATTATTAATTAGTCAATTACTAACATGTTATTTAAGTCGACGTTATAGTGAAGATGATTGAAATATAAACAATTGCAGGTTGGGAAGACGAACCACTTTATTGTCTAGCATAATACCTATGGCAATAAGCTGGGGGCTTGTTTTCACAGCAAAAAGTATTGAAGCCTTGTATGCGGCCAGATTTATTGGAGGTCTAGCGATTGCTATACCATTTGGAGTAATACCAGTTTACTGCGGCGAAATCGCGGAACCTTCAATCCGAGGAATACTCGGTTCATTTTTCCAAATATTTATCACCTTAGGTCTACTGTGGGCTTACAGTATTGGTCCGTTTGTCTCGTACACGAATTATTGTATCGCTTGTGCTGTCTTGCCAATCGCTTTCTTCATCTCCTTCTACCCAATGCCCGAGTCGCCGTACTACTTGGCGGCAAAAAGTCGCAAGGAAGATGTCATCAAAGTGTTGATGAGGCTAAGAGGAAAAAAAAGAGCAGAAGTAGAAAAGGAAGCTACTGAAATCGAGGTTATGATCGAATTTTTATTATTAATTATGTGAGTTATTTTAAAGCGAATTTTTTTGCTCCAGGTTTCCGTTCAAGAAGCTTACAGCAAACAAGCAACAATATTGGATTTGTGTAAAGTAAAAGCCAATTTAAAAGCGCTAATTGCTACGTGCGCACTGATTATTTTTCAACAGATGAGCGGAATCACAGTTGTTGTTCTTTACTCGGAGCTTATCTTTTCAAGCGCTGGAGAATTTGGCTTAAGCTCATCCGTTCAGACAATTATTGTAGGACTGGTTCAATTTCTGGGCTCCTGTGTCAACCCTTTGGCTGTTGACAGACTGGGGCGCAAAATCCTATTAATTATATCCAGCTCAGGTGCCGGTTTAAGTCTGGTAAGTTAATTATAGTCTTCTTTAAACTACTTTTACTAAAAATGAATCACAATTCCGTTTAGGGAGTTCTTGGACTGTTCTTTTATCTGAAAGACGCTGCTGGAACTCAAGTCAGTCATGTCGGATGGTTACCAATATTTTCCTTGGTTACTTTCATGGCAACCTACAGCATCGGATTGGGTCCTCTTCCTTGGACAATAATGGGCGAAATGTTTTCTCATGAAGTTAAGTCTAAAGCATCAACAATTATTGTTTTTACATGCTGCTTTTTAGCGTTTATTATCAGTAAATACTTTATTAATATGGCAATAACTTTTGGTCAATATACCGCAATGTGGTTCTTTGGATTTTTTTGCATCTTGAGTTTATTATTTGTCGTATTATTTCTTCCTGAAACTAAAGGGAAGTCATTACAGGAGATTCAAGACGAACTTAATGGAAAATCAAGTAAATAATTGTACTCCATTAATCATAAAATTAACAATAATAAATAAAAAATTTTTTTATACTTCAAATAGTAAAAATAATTTCTAACAAACATATCAGCCGTACTCGATTATATCAAGTCTGCAGCGACATTTTTCCTTCACTCATAATCTAACTATGTTTATGTGTTTTAATTTTATTTGTAATTGTTAGCAGTGTTGCATTTTTTATTAATGTCATTTCTGGCAACACTGTTTACTGCCGAGTGCTTATATTACAATTACACGTTTTATGCAGTAGCATACATAAAGTCAGTGTGATAATTGTTCGTCCTGCGCAAACTTATCGCCTTACGCTCGCACATGGCTGCATCTAAATTAAATATATTAAATAAAATTAATAAATAAAAAATTCTAGTGTCTTATAATTAATTAACAAGCTTTAAATAAAATTTTACAACAGTATTACTTAAAATCTCTGTAATAATAAAAAAAAAAGTGTCAATTATATATTACTTGCACGTCTCACATCGCTTAACCTGTTTGATTTTATGAACGTATCTATGCGCCGTTATTAATAAATAAAACTTTCCGCTGCACGCGCCACGTGGTGATTCCCCGCCAAACGCCGCTAGACCTATCGGTTGTTGTGCGACTATGAGTGAAAAAGCGCGAGTAACAGAAGGTTAAATTGATGACAATTAAGAATATCAGTTGTAAGATTGCCAGCATTAAAATTAGATGACCACTCGCATTATTTTTCATCACTCAGCTGATCTCAGTTACAACTGATCTTTGTGTCAAACTAGGTGTTATTTAACTTAAGCTTTTTAATTTATAATTTTTCTATTCCTTGATCATCACGCTTCCATACTTAAAATAAAAAGTATTAATTTTTTTTACGACCTTTATGCTTATTTTTTGCTCAGTATAATTAATTATTTATCCCACAATGACTCAACACGATGAGCTAATTAATATGACCAGAAAAGTGTCAGTTGTTGGCAGTAACAGATCAATAAAGCATGAAAAAGGCTCCAAGTCACTGCAAATTTTCGCTGCAATGGCAGGTAATTATTTTTTTTTTTTACACAGTGGAAACTCTATATAACGAAACTTCAATTTTAATTTATTTCACAAAATGCCATGATTTTTATTAAATACATACCTATAATTATTTTGGCGCTGTAAATATAATACTAAGACAGCATTGCTTGATCTAAATCTTCAAATTTTGGAGTTTTCAATTTTTTAAGAGGCACAACCAGTGTGGCAGCCTAAAAAAAGGCGATTTTTGATCATTAAAATAAAAAAAACTCCTGTATGAATTGTTTTAAAATTTTAAGGGTATATTAATACATATTTTAAGAATATGCCGTAAAATTTTTGAAGAAAAAACTTAGATATTTTCCGAGATAAAAAAAAATCTCGTTAAACTAGAAGATATTGTCTGTACCATAACCCACGGTCAAAAAAAAAAATATCAAAAATTGACAAAATGGCGGCGTTAAAAAAAAAAAAAAAGTTGAATTTTATCCAAAATTTTGGCCTGCCAAAATTCGATTTTTGATCAGATCAAAAAACTAGAGGGTCTTCTTATGGAGAACTATATACAGAACATGCAGAAAAATATTTGGTAGTGATCATAGATCATTTGTCTTCGAGTAATCACTCTAGCAAATTCAAAAAATGCTGTTTCGAGAAAAACACGTTTTTCTGTAGCTAATTAGCATTAATGCAACAATCTAACTGCCGAGCGGCTACTCTTTAAATGGCTGTAACTTAAAAACTATTTGAAATATCGATTTAAAATTTCAGTATGTTATTTTTAAAGGTATAATTTATCGAAATATAAAAAAAATTGATTTTTTCAAAATTTCACACTGGTTGTGCCCCTTCACAAACTTTCCGTCAATTTCTGAAGAATTTTTTCTCTATTAAAGATTTGAAAGTAACTAAAGCTGTAAGAATGTAATAGAAATCAAATGACATTATATGTGTATAGTAATATACATTTGCTTTGATAATTACAATACTCAATATCTATAGTTTTTAATCGATTACTGCATTTAAAGTCAAGCGGATTATTTCGTTGCAAAGAATTGTAATGTTTGTGACGCTATATAGAGTGTTTAAATATAGGAATAATAATGTAAACCAAACAAACTTTGGTATTTTCAACGTTTTATATCGAGTTTTTCGTTAAATAGAGTTGCGCTGTATAGAGTTTCCATTGTAATTAAAATTTATCATAACTTACTTCATTACTTGTTCATTAAATCATTATTAATTATTGCATGACTAACTAGATTCATTTGTTTAAAATTGATAATGCTGAAAAAAATATACTTCACACATATGTATAATCTAGCCAGCATTTGTGTAATGGCTGCCGGGTCAGTGATGGCTTGGACAACGCCTCTTTTGCTGATGCTCGAAGAAGATCCAGTGAGTAAATACAATCCCTTGGGCCGGCCGCTCACTAAAACAGAAACTTCTTGGCTTGTATCGTTGCCTAACGTAGGAACATTATGCAGCTGTTTCTTCCCAGGATATATTGCTGACAAGTAATGATTAATTGTCTTGTTCTACTGACGTAATTCCGTGGCCAATTATTAGCATTTACTATCTTGCAGGTGGGGAAGAAAAACAGTATTATTATCAACAGTAATTCCATCACTATTAAGCTGGACGCTTCTTGCTACTGGAAAGAGGATAGAAGTGTGGTACGCAGCGAGATTCATCTCAGGTTTTAGCGTTTCTGTTCCCTTTGCATTGCTCTCCATGTACTGCGGTGAAATTGCAGAACCGGCTATTAGAGGAATTCTCGGTTCATTTTTTGAGATATTCATCACCGCTGGTCCAGTTTGGGCATTCAGTATTGGCCCGTTTGTGTCTTATACCAATTATTGTATAATTTGCGCTGCATTGCCAGTTCTTTTCTTCATTCTCTTCTTTGCAATGCCAGAATCGCCGTATTATTTAGCGGCTAAAGGCCGGAAGGAAGATTTGATCAAAGTTCTGGCGCGGCTGAGAGGCAAAAGTAGAGAAGCTGTTGAAAAAGAAGCTAATGAAATTGAGGTTTAGTATTTAATTGATGTAAATTAGAGTTTTTATAATTTTTAAGTAAAATTACTTACTCCAGGCGACTGTTCAAGAGATTTACAGCAAAGAAACCAATCTGATGGATTTAATTAGAGTCAAAGCTAATTTCAAAGCACTTGTCTTGACATGTTTGCTGATAACTTTCCAACAACTCAGTGGAATTGTCGTCGTACTTTTTTATTCGGAAGTTATTTTTGAAAGTGCTGGAAAGTTTAGCTTGAGCACGTCTACTCAAACGATTTTGGTCTCGCTGGTTCAATGCTCTGGTTCTTGTTTCAATCCTCTTGTTGTTGACAGAGTGGGTCGTAGAATCTTGCTAGTTATTTCCAGCGCTGGTGCAGCAATATGTCTTGTAAGTCGACAATTTATCTTAATATTGAATAAATTTTTTATTCATGAAAATATGAACTTCATTTTATTTAAAGGGACTTCTTGGATTGTTCTTTTACCTAAAAGACGCAGCAAAAAGTGATGTAAGTAATTTGGGCTGGCTGCCAATATTTTCCATGCTTGCATACATGGCCAGTTACAGTGTCGGCTTAGGCCCTCTTTCTTGGACAATAATGGGCGAAATGTTCTCTCAAGAAATAAAAGCCAAAGCATCCTCAATATTTGTTTTCATATGTACTATTTTTATATTTATCATAAGTAGATACTTTGTTAATGTCGAATCAGCATTTGGATCCTACACTGCCTTTTGGATTTTTGCAGTATGTTGTCTAGTCTGCATTTTATTCACTATATTCTTCTTGCCTGAAACAAAGGGCAAAACATTCCCACAAATTCAAGCGGAACTCAATGGAAGACGTCGCTAATTGTACTTAATAAATTTTAATAAATTTTCGTTTATTATTATAACAGAAATTCAGTTTCCTTCAGATAAAATTTTTTTTCCTAAAAACCAACGGAAAATTTTTTCTATTAATTCAATATTAACCAAAAGAAGAAAACATAAATAATTGTATAACGTAATTGCTAAATAAAAATAGATAAATTTTTTTTTCACCTTATCAAACAATATAAAATGTCTGAACTAATTATCATGAAAGATAAGGGATTTATAGCAGTTAATTTGATGATAATTAAGACAATAAGCTGTAAGATTAAAAAAGAATTAACTTTCATAGTTTTATTCATAACTTGACTTATCAAAATAATAAGTTACTTTTGATCTTTGCTTGAAGCTAAACATTTTACATGCCTAGTCAATCATTTTAGTATTCTTAACTTAAAAATGACTCATCAAAGCGAATTGCTAGATACAAGTAGAAAAATATCGTGCATTAGTGGCAATACAAACTCAAAAAATCACGAAAAAGGCGCCAAAACTCTGCAGCTCTTCGCCGCAATGGCTGGTAATTAATTTCATCAATTTCTTCTTTTACTCGTGCCTGAATTAAGTTTAAAATTATGTCAAACTTTCATTAATTAGCAAACATATGTGCGACGGCAACTGGAATATCAATGGGTTGGCAAACTCCGCTCTTGTTGATGCTGCAAGAGGATCCAGTGAATGAAGACAACCCCCTAGGTAGGCCAATAAGTGAAGACGAAGCTTCCTGGCTCTCAGCATTGCCTTACATGGGAACACTGATCAGCTGCTTTGTTCCTGGATACTTATCTGACAGGTAAGATTAATTATCCTTCTAATTTTTTCGAGGTAATTGTCAAACTTGTTCCAGATTTGGAAGAAAAACAGTTCTACTGTCTAGCGTAGTGCCATCTTTATTGAGCTGGGTGCTTGTTGCTTTGGGAACTAGCATAGAAGTTTTGTACGCTGCAAGACTTATCACCGGCCTGAATCTTTCTACTTCCTTTGGACTGCTTCCAATTTATTGTGGTGAAATTGCAGAACCGGCTATAAGAGGAATTATTGGCTCCTTTTTTGAGATTTTTGTCAACGCCGGTCCAGTTTTTGCTTTCACTATTGGTGCGTTAGTGTCTTATAAGAATTATTGTATAATTTGCGCTACTTTTCCGGTTCTTTTCTTCATTCTCTTCTTTGCAATGCCGGAATCTCCGTATTATTTAGCCGCTAAAGGCCGGAAGGAAGATTTGATCAAAGTTCTGGTGAGGCTGAGAGGCAAAAGTAGAGAAGCTGTTGAAAAAGAAGCTGATGAAATTGAGGTTTAGTATTTAATTGATGTAAATTAGAGGTTTTTTAATTGTTAAGTTAAATTATTTACTCCAGGCGACTGTTGAAGAGATTTACAGCAAAAAAACCAATCTCATGGATTTAATCAGAGTCAAATCAAATTTCAAAGCTCTTATTTTAGCGTGCCTCATGGTAATTTTTCAACAACTCAGTGGAATTGTAGCCATTATTTTTTACTCGGAAATTATCTTTGCAAACGCTGGAGAGTTTACTTTGAGCACGTCGCTTCAAACTATTTTAGTTGGACTGGTTCAATTTTCAGGGACTTGTTGCAACCCGCTTGTTATTGACAGACTGGGGCGCAGAATCTTGTTGATTGTCTCCTGCACCGGGACAGCAATATGTCTTGTAAGTGGATAATTTATCAATAGGTTTTTTCTTCATGAAAATATGAACTTTATTTTATCCAAAGGGAATTCTTGGAATGTTCTTTTACCTGAAAGACGCAGCAAAAAGTGACGTCAGTAATTTGGGCTGGCTGCCAATATTTTCCATGCTTGCTTACATGGTCAGCTTCAGCATTGGACTAGGCCCCGTTACTTGGATAATAACCGGGGAAATATTTTCTCAAGAAATAAAAGCCAAAGCATCGACTATTTTTGTTTTTATATGCTTTGTTTTTACGTTTCTTATAACCAGGTACTTTGTTAATGTCGCGTCGGCATTTGGGTCCTACACAGCTTTTTGGATTTTTGCAGTCTGTTGTCTAGTCTGTATTTTGTTCACTATATTCATCTTGCCTGAAACAAAGGGCAAAACTTTTACTCAAATTCAAGCGGAACTTAATGGAAAAAACCGCTAATTGTAATTAAATTAATAAAATTTATATCTTCCTTAATTTTTAGACAATTATTTTTTTAAACCGAAAATTAAAAGTAAAATTCTTAAAAAAAAAAACATTTTTAATTTTCTTAGCGGGAAGTTAAAAATAAAGATAAAAACACTAATAATTTAACAACTCACTGAATATAAGTTAATAAAAAAAAAATAGTTCAGTATTATTAAATCAAATGATTGTCTGATCTATTTTTAGTCCATCACATGCTACTCTCACGTTCAATGTCTGCATTGAGTTCAATTATCACAAAAGATAAGACTTTTATTACAGTTAATTTGATGATAATTAAGAATATTAACTGGTAGATTAAAAAGCATTAACTTCCGTAACTTTATTCAATGATTTATTGACTTGCATGAAAAAGAAGTCTAAAAATCATTTAAGACTCGCTAAGATTTCTTCATCATTTGGTCTTCTGACTACATTCAGCAATGACTTATCAAAGCGACTTGCCAGAGAGTAGAAAAGTATCGTGTATTAGTGGTAATACTGCAAAAAATAATGAAAAAGGTTCCAAAACTCTGCAGCTATTTGCAGCAATGGCTGGTAACTTATTTCTTCCCAGCTTGTTCTAATCTAATTTAAAGTTCAAATTGTAGATTATTAATAACTGGTACAATTTTCAGCGAATATATGTGTGATGGCAAGTGGAATATCAATGGGCTGGCAAACTCCGCTCTTGCTGATGCTCCAAGAGGATCCAGTGAATGAAGACAACCCCATAGGTCGGCCTATCACTGAGGAAGAAGCTTCTTGGATTGTTTCGTTGCCTTATATAGGCACATGGGTCAGCTGCTTTGTTCCTGGATATCTATCTGATAGGTGAAGATCTTAATTAATTATTTTACTCACATATATTTATGAATAATTGCGAATAAATTAAGTCTTATAACTTGTAATTGTTACTTTTGTTGCAGATTTGGAAGAAGAACAGTTTTATTGGCTAGTGTAGTTCCTTCACTGCTAAGTTGGGCGCTTGTTGGTTTAGGAACTAGTATAGAAGTATTGTATGCTGCGAGACTCATCTCGGGTCTCAGTATTTCTATCTCTTTCGCATTACTCCCGATATATTGTGGCGAAATAGCGGAACCAGAGATTCGAGGAATTCTTGGCTCTTTTTTTGAGATTTTTATCAACGCTGGCCCGGTGTTTGCTTTTAGTATTGGTCCGTATGTTTCTTATACGAATTATTGTATCGCCTGTGCTGCTTCACCAGCACTTTTCTTCATTCTTTTCTTTGGAATGCCGGAATCGCCGTATTATTTTGCTGCAAAAGGTCGAAAAGAAGAGTTGATTAAAGTTCTGGAGAGGCTGAGGGGCAAAAGTAGGGAAGCTGTTGAAAAAGAAGCTGATGAAATTGAGGTTAAGTCTAGAAATTACATAATTTTAGTTTAAGAACAATAAGTAGTTTTAATAAAACAGTGAAGTTAACTGACATTATTAATTTTTTTTATCAATTAAATTATTATAAAAAAATTGTATATGTGAAAATTTAAAAAATTTATGAGTAAAAATTTTTTAAATCACTTTTTTAATTATAATTAATTTTTTAAAAGAACTTGCAAAAATTGTCAGCTGTTAGCTAACTTCAATATCATTTAGTAAGACATAACCTATAAAAATACCGACGTTAGAAATTTTTTTATAATTTTATAGTAATTAAATTATTATGAAAAAAAAAAATTATTAGTGAAATTTTTTTAATAATTAATAATTGATTTTTTGGAAAAATTTGGACTTTAGGATAGTATTAATAATTAGTAACATTTCTCACCACAGAGCGCTGTTCAAGAAAGTTTCCGCAACAAAGCAACTGTGATGGATTTGTTTAGAAACAAAGTTAACTTCAAAGTACTGGTTCTAACTTCAATACTATTAATTTTCCAACAACTAAGTGGGATCACAGTTGTTCTTTTCTACTCAGAAATTATATTTGCAAGCGCTGGAGAGTTTAGTTTGAGCACATCCGTTCAAACAATTTTAGTAGGAGTGTTTCAATTTTTGGGCACTTGTTTCAACCCGCTTGTAATTGACAGACTGGGCCGCAGAATCTTGTTGATTGTTTCCAGCGCTGGCGCAGCGATATGTCTTGTAAGTAGATAGTTTATCATAAAAATTAAGTTAGCCGCTATCTAAAAAATTTTAGAATGTTTTTTTTATTGAAAAAATTGTTACAAAAAACTAAAAACTAAATTTCACTTGCAAAAAACTTGACAAATTATCAGTTCAATTTTTAAAAAATATTTTTTAGTTCTTATTTAATAAATGGAAAAAAAATTAAAAACGTCAGCTAACTTTAGTGTTATTAATTTATCAATAAATTTTTAAACTTTATTTTATTTAAAGGGACTTCTTGGACTGTTCTTTTACCTGAAAGATGCAGCAAAAAGTGACGTCAGTAATTTGGGCTGGCTGCCAATATTTTCCATGCTTGCATTTATGGTCAGTTACAGCATAGGATTAGGCCCCGTTTCTTGGACAATAATCGGCGAAATTTATTCTCAAGAAATAAAAGCCAAAGCGTCAACAATTTTTGTTTTTATATGCTGTGCTTTATTGTTTACTACCAGTAAATACTTTACAAATGTCGCTTCAGCTTTTGGTTTATACACAGCATTTTGGATCTTCGCAGTCTGTAGCTTACTTTGTATTTTATTTATTATATTTTTTTTACCTGAAACTAAAGGAAGATCATTACAACAAATTCAAGATGAGCTCAGCGGTAAAAAGCGATGATAAATAAATTATTATAGCCAGAGTTATTATAAATTTACCATTTTTGCGGTTAGAATTGTTTTTTATATCTTCAGTATTTTATCCACTGTATTTTGGTTACCTAAAACTAAAATAATTTTTATGAAATATCTGTTAGTCTTAATATAAATGATAAAAACATTTTATAATTAGAATTACACATGACACTTTGTACACAATGGATTACTAAAAATTAATCAACTGTTAATAAATGGCTTTAAAGACAATAATATTGTTTCATTATTTGAAAAAAAAACTCGCCAGAGATCGTCAGATCTTGATCCGTGACTCTTTCCTACGAATAATATTTTTTACAGTTATAAACTGTAGTTCCATTTATTGCCTAATTCGGAAATACCATTGAATAAATAACTTTTGTAAACAGCACATAAATTTTTTATAACTCGAGCTAAAATATTTTACGTACACTGGCAATTTTTTTTATCAGTTCACAATGGCTGTTCATGATAATTTAATGTCTGAAAGAATAAGCATAAGCGTGATTAATTCTATTGAAATTAAAAATAAAAATTTTGAAGGATCCAAATTTAAACAATTCATCGCGGCAATTGCTGGTAACTAATTTATTATTTAACATTTTTTAATATAATACTGAAGTTAGCTGACAGATAATTTAAAAAAAATTTTTTATAAAAAATTCCACATTCAGATCTGTCAAAACATTATTGTTGTAATTTTTATTTGTTGTAAAAATAATAAAATACGACAGATGACGGCTAACTTCAATTTTATAATTTATTATTCACTTAAAATTTACTTACAATAATATGAAAATTAATTTAGCAGTTATTTAATAAATTTTAATAATTTTTTCAACAAAAAAATTATCCTAATAAAAAGAATTGACATGAAGAAAATTAAAAATGCAATTTTTAAAAAATTATTTTTTGGAACAAATTTGTTTGTTAAAAAAAAATTATTAAGTTACTGCTAATTTTAATGTAATTACCATAATTAATTATTTAGCGAGCATATGCGTGCTGTCAAGTGGAGTTATATTAATATGGGGAGGCCCTATTTTATTAATGCTCCGAAAAAATCCAGTGAGCATTGAAAATCCATTTGTCCGACCGATCAGCAATGAAGAAATATCCTGGATTGGTGGATTTACTACAGTAGGTTCAATGTTTGGCTGTTTGGCGCCAGGATATCTTGCTGATAGGTAATTTATAGGTTATGAATTATAAAAAAATTATGTAGAAGAAAGAACAACTTTGTTGGAAATTATTTCATTAACATACTGTCATCCTGCAGGTGGGGAAGACGAGCAGCTTTATTGTCTACCGCAGTTCCATTTCTTGTAAGCTGGACGCTAATTTTCTTAGCGAAGCGTATAGAAATTTTGTTCTTAGCAAGATTTATAGCGGGGCTTGCTATTTCTTTTTCCTACGCGCTGGTTCCGATGTACATTGGCGAAATAGCTGAAGCGCCGATCCGAGGAATTCTTGGGTCCTTTTTTCAAATATCCTTCAACTTAGGTTTATTACTGCCTTACGTAATTGGCCCGTTTGTTCCGTACGGTAATTATTGCATCATCTGTGCGACACTGCCGATTGTTTTCTTTGTTGTCTTCTTCGCGATGCCAGAGACACCGTATTACCTAGCGGCTAAAGGCCGAAAAGAAGATGTTATCAAGGTGTTGGCGAAGCTAAGAGGGAAAAGCAGAGAAGCTGTCGAAAAAGAAGCTAATGAAATTCAGGTTAGAATTTTATTTTTATTATCTATATTAATTATTTAGAAAAATTATGAAAATTTATTTAGCAGATTTGAAACAAATTTGTTTGTTATCTAAATTAAATGTCATCTAAAAATTTATTGGTAATTTTATAATATTGTTTCTTACCTCAGGTAGCGGTCCAAGAAGCTTACAGCAAAAAAGCAAAAATAATAGATTTGTTTAAAGTCAAGGCCAATTTAAAAGCTCTAATTATTTGCTGTAGTCTTGCCGCTCTCCAACAATTGAGCGGTATTAATTTTTTTCTTCTTTACTTAGAGGTTATTTTCGCCAGTGTTGGAACAAATGACAGTATTAGCACAACTCTTCAGACAATTATTGTAGCATTGATTCAACTTTTCAGTTCCTTTGTCAATCCTCTAGTAGTTGATTGTCTGGGAAGAAAAATTTTATTGATTGTTTCTGGAATTGGTACATCATTAAGTCTTGTAAGCTTAATTATTATTATTTTTTTTTTAAGTATTTCTTCATTACTGAAGAAATAATTTAATTTTCCAGGCAGCTCTTGGATTTTTCTTCTATCTGAAAGAATCAAAACAAAATGACGGCAGTAACATCAGCTGGCTGCCGATTTCTTCTTTAATTGTTTTTATGATTGCCTACAACATCGGATTAGGACCAGTTCCTTGGACAGTCATGGGTGAAATGTTTTCCCAAGAAGTTAAATTTAAAGCAACAATAATAACCATTTTCATTTGCCGTTTCACATCCTTTATTATTGTTAAGTATTTTATTAATGTTGTGGATGCATTTGGACTGTGCACAGCATTTTGGTCTTTTGGAGTCGTCTGTTTTTTAAGTATTCCATTTGCTGTTTTTATTCTGCCGGAAACTAAAGGCAAATCATTAAAAAAAATTCAAGATGAACTTATGAGTCGATGATAATTGTACAGATTTTTTTTTAAGTATAATTTGATAATCTTATAGATTATTTGATTTAATTTATCTATTATATCAAAAAGAAGAAATAATCATAATAAAATATTATTTAATAATGTATAAAAATAGGAATTATTTAATTGAATTAATCAGCGGAGATAATAGAGTACTCAATAAATTGTAATCAATCAAAGCGAGTTTTTGTTATCAATAGAGTGAATCTGATAACAAAAATTGCGAAGGTGATTGTACTTGACAACTGACAGTTGTTGGTTCATATTACATTAGTTTGTCAACAGGTCTTTTGTATTTTCTCGTTGCGTTTTCAATAATAAAATATCAAGTTAAATTGATAAATTTAATATCCAGAATGTCTAACACTGAAAAAGAAATCTATGTAACTGAAAATGAATTTCAAATTGATAGCAGTAAAATTAATCTTACAAAAACTTCAAAAGGTTCTAAATGTCTTCAATTCACTGCTGCGATTGCAGGTAACTGTAATTATTTTTGACTTGTTAAATAGAAGATGATATTTTACAAACGATAGTTTTGTTATAAAGCAAACTTATGCGTGATGGCTGCTGGATCATTGATGGCTTGGTCAAGTCCGGTGTTGTTGATGCTCCAAAATGAAACTGTAAGTGAAGAAAATCCTTTAGGTCGGCCAATAACAACTGAAGAAACGTCGTGGATCGGGTCAATTCTTTTGTTAGGTTCGATAGCCGGAAATTTATTTACAGGATATCTATCGGACAGGTATATGATATAATAAATAATAATCTAATAATAATTATTGGTGCTGTTATAATGTATAAAAAATAAAAAAATTATTACAGACTAGGAAGACGAACTACTTTATTGTGTAGCATAATACCTTCGGCAGTAAGCTGGGTGCTTATTTTCACAGGAAAAAGTATTGAATTTTTGTATGCAGCCAGATTTATTGGAGGTCTAGCGGCTGCTATACCATTTGGAGTAATACCAGTTTACTGCGGCGAAATCGCGGAAACTTCAATCCGAGGAATACTCGGTTCATTTTTCCAATTATTCATTACCTTAGGTCTACTGTGGGCTTACAGTATTGGTCCGTTTATCTCGTACACGAATTATTGTATCGCTTGTGCTGTCTTGCCAATCGCTTTCTTCATCTCCTTCTACCCAATGCCCGAGTCGCCGTACTACTTGGCGGCAAAAAGTCGCAAGGAAGATGTCATCAAAGTGTTGATAAGGCTAAGAGGAAAAAAAAGAGCAGAAGTTGAAACGGAAGCTAATGAAATCGAGGTTATGATCGAATTTTTATTATTAATTATGTGAGTTATTTTAAAGCGTATTTTTTTGCTCCAGGTTTCCGTTCAAGAAGCTTACAGCAAACAAGCAACAATATTGGATTTGTTTAAAGTAAAAGCCAATTTAAAAGCGCTAATTGCTACGTGCGCACTGATATTTTTTCAACAGATGAGCGGAATCACAGTTGTTCTTCTTTACTCGGAGCTTATTTTTTCGAGCGCTGGAGAATTTGGCTTAAGTTCATCCGTTCAGACAATTATTGTAGGACTGGTTCAATTTCTGGGCTCCTGTGTCAACCCTTTGGCTGTTGACAGACTCGGGCGCAAAATCCTATTAATTATATCCAGCTCAGGCGCCGGTTTAAGTCTGGTAAGTTAATTATAGTCTTTTTTAAACTACTTTCACTAAAAATGAATCACAATTCCGTTTAGGGAATTCTTGGACTGTTCTTTTATCTGAAAGACGCTGCTGGAACTCAAGTCAGTCATGTCGGATGGTTACCAGTATTTTCTTTGGTTACATACATGGCCACTTACGGCATCGGATTGGGTCCTCTTCCTTGGACAATAATGGGCGAAATGTTTTCCCAAGAAGTTAAATCTAAAGCGTCAACAATTGTTGTTTTTACCAATGCATTCTTAGCATTTATAGTGAGTAAATACTTCATTGGTTTTGCTGTAACTTACGGTCAATACACTGCGTTTTGGTTTTCTGGAATTATTTGCATCCTATGTATTTTATTCACTGTATTTTATTTACCTGAAACTAAAGGAAGATCATTACAAGAAATCCAGAATAATCTTAACGGTAAAAATAATTTGTAATCTTTATATTACTGAATCTTCAATAAAAATCCTTTTCTTTTAATTCACTAAGCTTCATTGATATTTTATACTTAAAAAAAAAAAAAATGACAACTCATTTTTATTTTTTGATATTCAATTATGTCATTATTACTTCATAACTTGTACTGAATTTTTTCAGACTGTTTTGATTTTAATTTTAATAACCCACTGAATTTAATTTGTTTATATTAATACATCATTGTTGAATTTTGTTATCGCAAAAGATAAAAATTATTTGTTTGATAATCGAAATAACTTTACAATTATACATAACTTGCCAAATTAATAAAATGTTTAAATTTAATAACGTGATGATGAGTGGAAGCTAAAGTTAGTCCGAATAATTTATCCGTTCTTCATCATTAATTAAACCGTGCAATATTTTACTTCCACAATGGCTCATTATGACGAACTGATGTCTACTAGTACAGAAATATTTCACATTAGTAAAAATACATCGATAAAAAATGAACGAGGCTCCAAACTGATGCAATTTGTCGCTGCAATTGCTGGTAATTATTTCTTCACTACTTTTTCTTCTTTGTTTAAGATTCTTCAAATCTTAATAATTTTTGTTAGTGAGCATCAACGTGATAGCAAGTGGAGTTATGTTGTGCTGGACAAGTCCTATACTGATGATGCTCCAAGAAAATCCAGTGAACAAAGAAAATCCGCTTGGACGACCAATTAGCAATGAAGAAGTGTCTTGGATTGGAGGTCTTGCTACAGGAGGTTCAGTAATTAGCTGTTTAATTCCAGGATATCTTGCTGACAAGTAATTTTAATAATAAAATTTAATAAAAAAAATTAATTTTAAATTATAGACTATTAATTATCAAATTAATAAATAAATAAATTAAATAAATATACTGTATTTACAGATGGGGAAGACGAGTAGCTTTATTAATCAGTGTAGCACCAGGTGTTTTAAGCTGGGTGCTTGTTTTTCTTGCGAATCGCATAGAATTTTTGTACGCCTCAAGATTAATCGCAGGCCTTGCAGTTTCTTTCACATTTGGACTGATCTCAATTTACGTTGGCGAAATAGCCGAGCCGTCAGTCCGAGGAATACTCGGCTCTTTTCTTCAAATATTCCTCAACTTAGGTCTGATGATACCTTTCGGAATTGGTCCGTTCATTTCGTACAATAATTATCGCATTATTTGTGCGACATTGCCGATTGTTTTCTTCATTGTCTTCTTCGCGATGCCAGAGACACCATACTACTTAGCGGCTAAAGGCCGAAAGGAAGATGTTATCAAGGTGTTGGTGAGGCTAAGAGGGAAAAGCAGAGAAGCTGTTGAAGAAGAAGCCCATGAAATTCAAGTCAGAATTTTATTTTAATTAGAAAAATTAAAAAAAAAAAAAAAATTAAAAAATGGTCAAAAGTGACTGCTAACTTTAATTTTATAATATTTCTTCTTAACTAGACAGCGGTCCAAGAAGCTTACAGCAAAAAATCAACAATACTGGATTTGTTTAAAGTCAAGGTCAATTTAAAAGCTATAATTATTTGCTGTAGTCTGATATTCATCCAACAGCTAAGTGGTATTACTGCTCTTCTTGTTTACCTACCGATGATTTTTGCAAGCTGTGGAACTTTTAGTATCTCCCCAATTTATCAAACAATTATTATTACATTGGTCCAACTTATTGGTTCGTGCTTTAACCCTCTTTTCATTGATAGACTGGGCCGAAAAATTCTATTAGTCATATCAGGAATTGGCTCTTCGTTAAGCCTTGTAAGTTAAAATTATTCAAAAAATTAAAATTTATTTTGTGAAGATATAATTGAATTTTTTTTCAGGGACTTCTTGGACTTTTCTTCTTTTTAAAAGATGTTATGAAAACAGATGTCAGCAACATCGGCTGGCTCCCGATTTCTTCTTTGATTGTATTCATGGCTACTTACAGTGTGGGATTAGGTCCGGTTCCTTGGACAGTAGTGGGTGAAATTCTTCCCCAAGAAATGAAATCAAAAGCATCAACAATTATTATCTTTCTCAGCTGTTTTATGTCATTTATTGTTATCAAATATTTCATTAATATTGTTGATGCTTTTGGCCAATACATTGCGTTTTGGTTTTATGGATTTTTCTGCTTTTTAAGCGTTCCGTTCGGTGCTTTTATTTTACCGGAGACTAAAAATAAATCATTGCAAAAAATTCAAGATGAACTTCAAGGAAAAAAAAGCTAATAATTGTATTTTATAATGTTTTTTAATTTAATTTTATAATAAAATTAATTATTTATACTTATCTTTATTTCTTCTTAAAATTATATCTTCACTCCTAAGTAGAGGTTTTTTTTTTTAATTAAATTACAATTCAAAAAATATTTCTAAAAAATTGCACTTGCAGTTTTTCAAGTTTTTTACATGTGAAATTTTTTTTTCAATTGTTTAATTGAAATTTCTTCAATAAAAAATTTCTATAAATTTTGAAATGTCAGCTAACTTCATTTTCATTTTTTTTTTTTTTTATCATTTTATAGCAATTAAATTATTATGAAAAAAATAAAAAATATTAAACATTGCATCTCTTGATTGTAAACAAAATTCTGTAATGAAATAACAAATTAATAATATATAGTAGTTAATGCATATAAATTATAATCACATTGAATATTGATCAACGATTTCATTTTATTCAGCCATTTTACTATCCAAATAGTCGATATAATTGTTATAAGTCTCATATCCAACAAGATCTTGATAAATGCGAGGAGAATTTGAACAAGGATTATCTTCTGGCTTAGTGACATTAATGTTGAATTTTCCTACATTGTGTTTCAATTGATCCCACACTTCAGACAAGTCGATAAAAGAACGGTAATTATTGCGGCGTTCGAAGGCTTCACGTTTTTCCTCAAAACGTTTGACATTCTCGTTCAAACTTTTGCGCATGACATCACACGTGTCACAGTGACATTCAAACTTTATATCTTTTAAAAAAAGTTCAATAATTAATTAGTAAATAGATAATAATAAGTAGTTTGAAAAGTTGGATTTAACAGAAAAGTAAAAATTTTTTTTCTTACCAAATTTCTTATTAATAAAAGAAAGGCACCCTATAGAAATAATTTGGTCATCTTCTTCTGGTTTTATTGACACGGCACTGCAAGATTAAGTTGTTAAATTATTTGATTTAAAATAAACATTGCATCTCTCGATTATAAACAAAATTCTGTAGTGAAATAAATTAATAATAGTAAGTGGTTTTATTTCACTTTTCAGGACTAGCAGGCTGAATTTCAGTTTGAATGTGAACCTATTAATTCAGGCTCTTCAGCTTGACAATAGCTTGAAGTCAGGCTATTCAGGTTAAATTACTGCTCAATAAAAGAAGCGTGATCAGCTTCCCATGTAGGAAAGTATGGCGGGCCCAGGCTTGGCCCAACTTTGTATAACTCTAGACCAGGCTTGTAAACCAGAGTTGGCCCAGTCTTGGTTTAAGTCTGGAATGATAACGCTGACCCATGCCATTTGATAGAAAATGATGAAAAAAAAAATTTTTGAAGTATTATTTTTTTATTTTAATTTTGATGTAGAGCTAACGCAAGTTTAGATCGTTTGACTCTTTATTTAGACCTAACTTTTACTAATTATAGAAATAAAGTGAAAATAGAATTGGAACTTCTTTCAAACTGAATAGCCTACAGCTTTATCAGTTTGAATTCAGTTTCATTTTTATACCTTAGCAGGCTGTTCAGCTTGAATTCAGTTTCAGTACAATATACCTTGGAAGGCTGTTCAGTCTGAATATAGTCTGAAATGTTTACGTCATATTTTAAAGCTGCAGTGTGATTAGGTTGAAACCAGTTTCAATTTAATACTGCTAGCAGGCTGAGCAGTTTGAAATTATTAACTTTAGCAGGCTGAACAGTTTGATGTAAGGCTCTGTTCAGTGCAGTAAGTTTGATAAAAGGTCCAATTCAGTGCAGTCAGCTTAAATTAAGGTTTAATTCCGCTTTAGCAGTTCGAAATAATGCTGAAACTTTTTGACTAGGGTTTTCAGTCTGAGTTCAGGCTCATTTTATAATGTATTTTAAATAGCCGCTTTTTATTTTTTTCAAACGTTGACTAAGCATCAGCTTATTCAGTTCAGAGTAAATGCTGAAACTTTTCGACTCGGGTGATATATCTTTCGATTCCCTGAGGTTCGCTCCAGCGCCGCCTAGGTTTAAGGCAATTAAAGTACTTAACCAACACAAACTACCCACCTCACAACACCCAACGGCCGTATGAGAAAAATACTCTCGGTGCCAATGAAAAACATAAATACATCCAGCGGCAACTCCAGCAGCTCCAGCAGCACCAGCAGCTCCAGTAGCTCCAGCAGCATCGGGTAATTTACTTTATAATTAAACTTTACTGATTTGAAAAATTATAAATCATAAATCATAAATCATTTATTCTTATAATAAATATTTGTTTTATTTACAGTTTTTCCGCCAATTGCCCTCGGTGGGAATCCAGCCGCACCAGGGTGTATGAATTGCAATTGTTTATATTTACAATCCATTAAGGTTGCCAGCTATGAATCATTGAGATTCCACGTAGAGTTCTATAATTTGGACTTCGGATCTCATATATCTACAGCCCAAATCTGACTCAGGATGTTCCAAGCAGTAATCAATGGCAGAGTTATGGATTACAAGACATGAATTTAAGCGTATGCGCCGATCACCCGGAATTCAGCTCCGATGTCTTAAGACAAATAATAATAACCCGTAATACTTCATACTTCTTTACGTACCATTTCCGCCCTTAATTTAGTATTTCCATTGATTATTAACATGCTATCCACACCGACTTCAGCAAGGCTTTTGACAGGGTAGATCATGAGATTTTACTAAGGAAGTTGGAAAACTACGGTGTACATGGACACGCACTCAGCTGGCTCCGGTCTTACCTAACAGGCAGACGTCTGCAAGTCAGGGTTGATGGTAACTTATCTGACGAATACATGGTCACTTCAGGTGTTCCTCAGGGGTCGGACTTAGGCCCTATACTCTTCAATATTTTCGTCAACGACATTGGGAAAGAGTTTGATTCAGAGTTTATACTGTATACAGATGACCTGAAAATCTACAGAACTATAGCGAGCGAACTAGATTGCGAGATCCTACAGCATGACATCAACACGCTAGCTACATGGTGCACAAACAACAGACTTGACTTGAATGTCAAAAAATGTGCAGTGATAGCCTTCACACGTGCTCATACCCAGGTGCCCACCAGCTATCTCCTGAATGGCGTCGAGATCGAACAAGTAGACTGCATCAAAGACCTTGGTGTCTTAATTGACAACAAGCTTATGTTCACCAAACATGTAGACAAAATCACACTCCAAGCTCTCAAAATCCTAGGCCTTGTCACAAAAGAACATATAGAGATTTCAACTACCCGCATACTACGGTTAACCTATACCTTGCCCTAGTTCTCCCGATTTTGGAATACTGATCGGTCATCTGGTCACCCTACACTGATATCTTAACCAAGCAGCTTGAGAGAATTCAAGACAAGCTATGTAAATATCTCTCGAATACATGCTGGTCGCGAGCTAATGCCTCAACTTCAGATGATCTTCGCAAGCACTTCAAATTAAACAATTTGACCAATCGTCGTCAGGTCGCCGACTACTACTAAGTCTTCGAAAAGCTATGTGGTGAATGGACCTCATGACAGAATAATAAACCTGGTGAATAAATTAAATGGCCAAGTGAAATTTTACGGTGGTACCTTCAGTGCTTTTATGTCAAACATTAAAAAACAGTTGCTTATGTACACATAAACTACACAAAGTTTTCTTTTTCTCGTTCTTTGCTTCAATTTAAATCATAATTTAATTTCTTTAATTTATGTTATTTAATTTTAAATAATTTCTTTATGTATATTGCCGATAGGCGTATGTTAATAAATAAATAAATAAATAAATATAAATGCCTAATTAATTAAATAAATGAATACAAATTTTCGTAAGACAATATAATTAATTAGAGTTTGCGTATTTATTAAACTTTATTGCTAGTAGACTAGCAAAAGCATGTGAATCATACAACGGCAAATATAATTATCTCACAGTTTATAAATTACTTGTTAAACAAATATTTATTTGTCTCCGTGAGAATAATGTTAGAATGAGAAAAGAGAAATTTATATCTGCTTAAATATTTTTTTCTTACGCTTAAGACTTATTAAATGAATATAAATTGCACGAAAGTATAATATTATGCAAAGTCACATGATATGCGATGGTCTTAATTACAGCAACTACAAATATGACAATATTTATTATTTTTTTTATTTTTTATATTAATTTTAAAAGTGAGTTTTTCAATGTCAATTGACATTTATCAATAGGCACATGACTCAACGTGAAATGCAATGTCTTTGTAACAATTAAATACATAAAAGTAATTGTATTGCCTACATAGTAAGTGTACATAAATATTTATTTATGTTTTACAAGCTACCATTTATTTACTCGCATAATTTTATTCCTAATTTTTTTTTTTTTTTTTTTAGCTGCTGGCAGTATTTTTTAGTTGCCTAAATATTTAAGTCAAAATTTAACAAAAAAAAATTATTAATAATGATAATAATAATAGTTAATACAAAAACTGCCTTATTTAAATATTAAACAAATTTAAAAAATATTTTTTATTTATTTAACGAGTAGTTATTTTTTAATTACAAAACAAAATCAGCTGACTGTTGAAGAAATATTTTTATACTATTTAAATATTATTAAAAGTTATAAAAAAAACAGCTGATTTTGTTTCGTCTACTCGCGATATAAAAAAAAATAATAAAACGCCTACAAGTTATAGTAATAATAATGAATACCTGGCGGCAGCTTTTATGTAGCTATTACATTGACGACTAAAGAAAATTTAATAATAATTATTAATAATAAAAAGTAATTATGAACGGACATATCTTTGCACATTTATATAATTTTATATCCGTAAATTATTATATTAATCTAAATATAGCGAACATTATTTAATGACTCATGAAAACTACTCTAAATTTTAAAAAATAAAAATTAAATTTGACAATTTAAAAATGTGAATTTATAAAACAAAGTATTTTGTTAAAGTAACACCGTCAACTCTATTGACGGTGATAACTTTAAACTTTGTTTGCTGTGATAAATACCAACAGATTGTATTCTTATGGACGATATAATTTAATTATTTTTTTTCTCAGTAATGAAAACTTGTTCAATTTAAATAAATATTATCAGAATGTGCGCTCGGCACTGAGAGTAAAACTACTGTAGAGTCATTAGAAGAGTCGAGCACGTCGTTTTATTTCGTTTCGGCGCCATTGGGGTAGTCGATAAAATTCCGAGCGATTGCATTGAAGTATTGCTTCAAATTCGGCATCTGATAAGTGTCGCTGAAAATGAAAATAAAATTATTCAATTTTAATAAACTAGCAACCTTGCAGTCACTGTGACTGCCGTGACTTGTGAACTATAAATAAATAAAATTTTACTTTGTTAAATAATTACTTTTGTTAAATTGCACTGTACTTTCTTAAATATTGACGTTTTTTTAAGATATAAGCTCATCATGATGTTATACTCACTGAGACCTTTCATTTGAGTACCCACATAAATTTTTCATATATTTTATATATTTCACAAATTCCATATATATAAAATATATGAAATATATAAAAAATTGATGTGGGTACTCAAATGAAAGGTCTCGATAAGTGTAACATCGGGATGAGCTTATATTTTTAAATATATCAATAGTTCATGAGATACAAGGTAATTTCTTAATAATATGGATTAAAAATATTTTTTGTATAATTAATTTTTAATAAAAAATTAAAAAAATTAATTTACCAGATTTTTGATAATTTTAAGAATCTTTTTAACGAATTAATTATGACAAAAAAATAATAATTGACATTTCGAAATTAAAAATGCAATTTTTTTAATAATTTTTCAGAGGAAATTTATTTGTTAAATAAAATTAAAAAATTAATTTTCTTTACCTCAAGGTTACAGCGATCGACATCTGCTGGCAGTCTGTAATTCGTAATAATAAGCAAGTGATATGGGTAAAGCTTTGGTGGCTCTGAAGGTGCAGCTCCCATGTCTGGAAGCGAGCGTCGCATATGGTGACCGTGAGTGCCTCCACCAACTGTTCCTAATCCTCCTGTATACGTTGTCGATGACGGGATAATTCCACCATCATTCTGCATCAAATTCACTCACATTAATCATTAAATATTAATCATTAACACCTTTATAATTTATTACAAACATTTCTTACAAGAGCCCGTTACGATTCAGTGTCATGCGGTATGTACAAAAATTTTTTACGTGCGCTTGTTTACTATGTTCATTCAAATTACATTTACAAATTTAAATAAAACCTTACTCATGCAACTAATTAAAAACATTTTTTTTTATTAAAAATTATAAAAATACTTATAAATTTCTTCATTAAAAAAAAAAACATATTCTTCTCAGTAGACACTGAAGAAATAGATAAACAAATAATGCAACATCAAGTGCTACAAACCATGCTTGTTCGACGTGAGTAGTACGGGGCTGATGTACATACCAGTGCTCGTCTGTCGACATCCGTAATGCTGCCTGTTGATACTAAAATTTAATGGGATTCAAATAAAAATATTTCGTAATTAATAAGATTATTTAAAAACATTTAAAGTGAATTTTAAATTAAGGAATAAAATAATTAACATGCTGTTATTTATAATTATTAATTATTAATTATTAATACTGTAAATTAAAATTTTTATAATTAATTTTTGACACATTAGATTGACACATTTTATTTAAAAAAAAAAAAAAAAAAAATAAATTACTCACTATCCGATTTGCCAGATGAAAAATCAGTGCTGTGTGTTTTGTCGCCCATACCGCTGAATGAATAATCACCCTGACCAAATAAAATAAATAAGTAAAAATTATATTAACCGTTAAAAAGAATTATAAATTAAATGAATAAATAAAAATAATTTTTTTTTTTTAATTATACACCACAGTGTATGTTTAATAATTATTTAAAAATAAACGCCGCGCAATAAGACTTACAGGGAGAGCAGATACAGAACCACCAGTAGACGAGAAGGTGTGACTTCGCGGTGCCAGACCGTATCCCGGCTTCGGGATGTGTCGAAGGGAGCTCACAACTGGTTTAGAATATTAATCGAAGTGATAATATAAATCAATATAAATAAATAAAATTTATTTTATTAGATTTTTGTGTTTTTTTTTTTTATCTTATCAAAAACTCAACTCACGCCTTAATTCCCATACGAGTGCCCAACGTTCGCAGCATTTATTTATTTTATTTTTTTTTTTTTTTACAGGCCCGGTTTATTGGTAATTATTTTAGACGGTAGTGATAAATATAAAGCAAAGCTCTTCACTACTTATTTTTTTAGCGTTAATTATTTGGCTGTTTTTTATTTTTTAAATAAAGTATTAACCTGCACTGATGCTAACTTAATTTATTTCGTGGTAGCTAGACAAACAAACTCTAGTTTTTTTTTGTAAATTTTTTGGATCAAAAAAAAAGGAAAATAAATTTAATATGTGATTTTTGGTTTAAATTTTAAAAAATAATTAATGAGATTTATTATTAATTTAGATTTTTTTTAATTAGAAAAAATTGTAAGAGATATTTTTTTGTAAAAAATTAAATTTTTTTGATGAAATATATTTTCAGCAAAAATCTTGAAACTAGTGATAAGTTTTTTTTTAATGAAATAAAATAGAGTTTGAATAAAACTACCACGAAAGTGTGCAAGCGTGATTGCTAAAAGACTCACCGACTGATAGTGCCTAGCAGCGTTTGGAAGTGTGAAGGCGCGCTGATTACCGAGAGGTGGATAGTTTCTGGGTGCCGGGGAACGGGCCAATGATCTTCCGACTGGTCAGCCAGGTATAAAAACACACGACACAAACACAAAACACACAAGTATAGAAAATACGATAGATAAAAGTTTTTTAAGTAGTTGCAATTTAATGAATTTTATTTTTAACAATATTTAGAGTGCATTTACGTGAAATGAAGATGATATGAAAGGAAGAAAAGCATGTTTGTGTTTGTGTGTGATTTTCAGTGGAGTAAATTCATGCAAAAAAAAATATAAGATGAGTAATAAATAAATTAAACAATAATTATAAAAACTAAAGAACTAAAAGTAATGAGAATGGCTAATGAAACATGATAAGCTGGATGAAAAACTCATACTCAGTTCGAGAGTCAACGATCGTAGCTCGGGTCTTCAATCGGTATCAGGCGTCTTGATCCTCCGACAAAATATCCCTAAGACTAAATATCACACAAAATCTATGAAAAAATTTTATTATTTAAGATATTTTATCCGGATATGCGGTGGTTACAGTAATACTTTAAATGCTGTAGCTTCAATACAGAATAAGTTACTAAAAAAAATTAATAATAAAAATGTATTAGATATTAAGAAAAGTTTCATAGTTAACTCTATATCAAGTACTACAACAAACTACCATATGATCTTAAAAAACTGGATGGTAGCAAAAAGTCATTAAAAAATAAAAAGTTTGGCAAATCCAAAAGTGCACGACTCATAATGCTCATTCGTTGGATAAATAAAAAAAAATAGTTAATGTTCTAAAAGAATATTGTTTTTAAATGCTATTTTATTTTTATTTAAATATTAGGTACTTTTTTTTTTTTTTTTTTAAATACTCTTAAATACAATTTCTTTTTTTATTTATTTTTTGGAAAATTGAGTTGATTGACACGAATTTTCTTTTAACTATTTTGATATTTTTTTCTGGTTTTATTATCTTAAATTGATTTTTACCAGTGACAGAATTAATCTCCATTAAATTATCTATCGAATGGTGCGCAAATTAATTAGACTACGTAGATTATCAATCGTGTAATTAATTAAATAGTTACGAAATCGAAGCAAAATAAATTTTTCGATCGTAAAGCACTCTCATGAGTCGTGCAATTAACAAAATGGATAATACAAATTAATATATATAATATAAAAAATATTATTATTATTTATTTTAGGGATATTTTGTCCCGGACATTTTTTCCCGGACAATCAAGACTCATCGCACCCTTTAATCACTTTCGTTAAATTATTTTATAAAATACGGTGAGTAATTTTGAAAATTAAATTTCAAAATTTTAAATACAAACGTGAGATATTTAAAACAATGACTTACTGCATGCGAATTAAGGCGACATCATCTTGAAAACTATCACCTCAGCGGTAATGTTGATAATCGTTTGTCGAAATTTGTTTTATTATTTATTATTATTGTTAGAATTTCTATAACCCATTATTTTAATTAAACACTGAAATAATTTCAGCAGCCTTTTTTTTTTTTTTAATAATTAGACTCTAGGATAATTATTAATCGTGAAGAAGCTGAGCTGTTGAGTGATAAATGTTAGTGTTTAATGTGCGAACGTGTGGACATGTATGAGATGACGGACTCTTAGTTAATGACTGATAATGTAATTCTCTAGCGATTATAGATGATGATGATAATTATTTTATTGAATTACCATTGTAGCTTGGAGCAGTGCTTGATTTATAACTAACACCGTCATCGTCTTCCCACGGGCGTGCGTGATCAATATTTCTTGATGGAGCTGTTAGTCATTTAGAAAAATTATTAAATAAAAATAAAATTTATCTCTGACTAATTAATTAATTAAAAATGATGGTTCATAATAATAATAATAATAACTCACAAGCACCAACAGGACTTTCATATCGTAATCTGTAAGTCGGTTCTCGAGCCGCTGACGGAGTTCTCGAAGCGTTTCGTGGGTCGACATTAGCTGCGCGATGTCGAAGATTTTCACGATCTTTTTCTATGTCCTGAAGAAATACTTTAGCAATCCCAGTGTTGATTTTACTCAACTCATCTTCTTCTTTTTTTAATTTCTGCTCAACTTCTTTGATATAATTTTTACGCTCGCCGTCTAATCTGTCTGATCGGTCGGTACCGTCTGTAGCGTCGTCTTCATCATCCGAAACTCCCTGAAGAATAATAATATATTTATTTATATTTATATTTAACAAGTTTTCTATTTTTTTACAAAATGTGCAAAAATTATTTGCACATTTTTATTTAATTTTTTAAATTATTTTTTTTCTAAAATTTAAATTTAATCTAATTCTTAATTAATTTTTTTCATTAATTCTTATTTCAATTTTTATATAATTGGATGATTAATTGTATAAATTGTTTTTTAAATACATGATGGATTTTTCAACAGTTTGGACAAAAAAAAAATATTATTATCATTTAATTTTTAAGAAAAATTAGATATTAAAAAAAATAATACTAATTACTTTAAAAAATCAGTAATTAGAAAAAAAATATTACTGAAAAATTTTTAGCAGTATGTGTTCTTGTTTTATCTATTTATAATTAATTTTTGTGTCTTGTATTATAAAAATGTATATTTTTAATTACTTAAATATCATTAATTAGAGTTTGGTGTTGTCCCAAAAATTATTTTTTTATAATAACGAACAAGTAACTCAATAAAATGAACAATAAAATACCTTATAAGTGTCAGACCAGCGTCGACGTCTTTCAGGATCAGTATAAGGATACGGCGGTGCTGGAAAATCGTCTCGTTCTATTGGAGGTTTAGCTCCAGGCGGACGTTTCATTGCATCTGGATAATGAGCGAGCTCAATTGGCTCGTCATTGTCGACCTGACTACCAGCTGCTGGAGATTTTGGTCTTGTTTCACTGAGCGCGTCTACCAACGCTCGCATTCCTGAACGGCTGCTTCGACCTCCGCTGCTTCTTATCGAGCGCGATGCTGCAGAAAATAAAATAAAATATTTTTAATAAAATATTTACATTGATATTTTAATAAATTAACTTAATTAAATAATTAATTTTAAATAGTGGTTTAAAAAAAAATTCCATTACTTACAATTGGGTCGATGAAAGTGAGGACTAGTCGGTGGCTTATCGTAAGGCTGAATCGGACGTCTCAAATATCCTTGACTTGGTACTTCTGTTAAATAAGAATATGTGCAAATTCTGGAAACGTCTTCGGCGTTACCACGTCCATATTCTCGTAATATCAGTCCAGGACTTCCAGTTCTAGCTGGATAATACTGTAGCATGATATAAATAATAAATAAATACATTTTTTAAATAAACTTAAAAAAAAATTTTTTAAATAAATTAAATGTTTAAATTTTTGAGGGACAAAATGAAAATGTGATTAAAATAAATGAATGGTGATGATTATACCTTGCGACTCATGCTGCTGTATGGACTGCATATCGACCCGTTGAGACTTGGTGTGCGAGATCTCAATGAGAACTATCGTGTAGAAAATAATAAAAAAAAAAAAACCAAGGTAAAAAAAAATCTAAACATAAATAACTAAATAAAATAATAACTGGGAAAAAGTGTAGTGCAGAGTAAATAATATTTTAGTTGTGAAAATAATTGTTTACCTGCATCTCAGATGCACTACTTGATATACGCTCAGATTCTCTGTGTTGAGGAGTATGAACATCTCTAGTTCCATGTCCATTGACAATTCCGTTTGACCCGGTGGGCCCTGGCCCGCACCGCGGGTGCCAGATTGCGGCTCCTTGCAAGTACATCTCTTCACCATCCCCAAAAGGATCGCCACACTTGGTGCAGCGAGCACAAGTAGGATGGAAGTGATGATTTTCACCAGCTTGCAATACTTTTCCGCTTATGTAACGACTGCAGTACGCGCACTTTACTCCAAATTGTTTTTGATAGTCCTTCTCGCAATACGGAACTCCATCTCTGTAAAATAATTTGTTAAATTGTACTGTACTTTCTTAACTATTGACATTTTTCAACATATAAGCTCATTATGATGTTACACTCATCGAGAGCTTTCATTTGAGTACCCACATGCATTTTTGATATATTTTTCATATATACATATATAATATATATAAATATATGAAAAATTGACGTGGGTACTCAAATGAAAGGTCTCGATGAGTATAACATCGGGATGAGCTTATATCTTTAAAAATGCCAATAGTTCTCAAGATACAGGGTCATTTCCTAAGTATTGACATTTTTAAAGATATAAGCTCATTATGGTGTTATACTCATCAAGAGCTTTCATTTGAGTACCCACATGCATTTTTATATATATTTTCATATATATATATATAATATAAATATATCAAATATATGAAAAATTCATGTGGGTACTCAAATGAAAGGTTTTGATGAGGGTAACATCGGGATGAGCTTATACTTTAAAAAATGTCAATAGTTCTCAAGATACAATGTCATTTCTTAACAATTGACATTTTTAAAGATATAAGCTTATTATGATGTTACACTCACCAAAAGCTTTCATTTGAGTACCCACATGCATTTTTATATATATTTACATATATACATATATGTAATATATATATAAATATATGAAAAAATGGATGTGGGTACTCAAATGAAAGGTCTCAATGAGTGTAACATCGGGATGAGCTTATATCTTTAAAAATGTCAATAGTTCTCAAAATACAAGGTCATTTCTTAATTATGTATCTAGAGATTCAGTAAAAAAGATATGAAACCTTGAAAAGGCACTAAATTTCTCTTATTCTTTTAATAATATAGATAATTAAATTATAAATAAATAAAACATACTTTCCCATGTACTCGCCATGGAGCACAGTATCGCAGCTGTGACATTTGAAGCACCAAACATGCCACTGTCGATCCAAAGCAACGAGGGCTTGTCCCTCTTGAAGTTTTTCACTGCAGCCAGCGCAAGCACCGACGTCATTACCAGTGTCTCTGGCGTTAGCACTTTTTGATCGGCTGTCATGAGTTTTGCTGCCGATTGGCGTCGAGGCTTCTCGTACTGGTATACTGACGCACCGATGACACAAAGCTTGACCTACCAGACGTGTAATAAAAAAGATTAAATCAAACTAAATGCTCCGAGACACTAGACCGGTTTAGAGAGTTACCGAGCACATATATCAAAAGTACCTTGAACCAGAGTAACTTTAGTTCCTTGACCTAACAGCGGTTGTCTACACCTCTGGCAATGAAAACAGTTCGGATGAAAAGCGTGTTTCTCTCCAGCAGTCACGACGTCACCTTCAACGTACTCGCCGCATCCAGCGCATCTTGTTCCCCAGCGCTCACGATAGTCCTGAAAGAGACAGTCAATATTACAACTATTTTATTACAACGCTTTGAAATTAAGATTTTATTAGCGGGCTTGACAGTTGAATTGAGTGACGCTAAGTAATCTTTCACCTTTGTACAGTAATAGGATCCTTCTCGAGCAAAAAATCCGCCTTGAGCGAGGCTGGCGCTGCATTGCGCGCACTTGAAACAACCGATGTGAAAGTACTTGTCTTGAACTCGCAGCACCTCGCCGCTGCATTTTTTTTTACACGATAGACAATAAGTTTTTCCTGAAACATAAATTTAATAAAATTTTACTTTATTAAATAATTACTTTTGTTAAATTGCACTGTACTTTGTTAACTATTGAAGATTTTTAAAATATAAGCTCATCCCGATGTTACTCTCATCAAGAGCTTTCATTTGAGTACCCACATCAATTTTTTATATATTTCATATATTTATATATATTATATATATGTATATATGTAAAATATATATAAAAAGGCATGTGGGTATTCAAATAAAAGCTCTCGATGAGTGTAACATCAGAATGAGCTTATTTTTTGAAAAATATTAATAATCAAGAAATTATATTGTATTTTCTCAACTTATGATATTTTTAAAGATATAAACTCATCATGACGTTACACTCATCAAGAGCTTTCATTTGAGTACCCACACGCATTTTGATATATTTTTTATATATTCATATATA